CCGAAGCCCTAACATCGAGCCTGAGTGCCAGAGAATATGGAGGGAGCCACCAAATGGATGGGAATCCTTCGTATAAGGACCCCCAGTGCAGGACACCCTGAGTCTAAGAACCAACCATTGCTTCGCAGCTGAGAGGTCTTGCAGCTGGATCGGAAGAGCGGTGCTCTCAGTCCACCTATGCTATATAAGCGGTGTTTTGGAATTCCTTGCAGGTTTGCAGCGTCATCTTTACTTACTTGTTTAATGAGATTTCGGAATGTAAGGGGTTGGAGTTGCAGTTTCGGGTGAGGCTTTCCGGTTTGCGCTGTTGTTGTTTCGGTTTTGGGCTTGGAGCTTCTTGCTGTGTCGGTTGCGCGCCTGTTGGTTTAGGTTTCTTGAGGCTTAGGGTTCCCGGACCTCCCTACAACGTTTGGATACAGATGTCCCTAAGCCGTAGAAACCCCATACAGGCCCTAAGCCTCTAACACTATCTTCACTAAAATCACAGACTACGCATGATATACTTTGCCCATCGGCCCCAAAGTAGTTCCTTTTGGGATTACCTTATAGGATTCTATATACGAACCCCAAAAAGGAACTACTTTGGGGCCTTATAGGGAACCCCAAAACCCCAAAGGCCCTACTAGACCGTTCTCCTCCACAAGAAAAGCCTTTCGTAAATAATGTGTGGAGCTGCGCAGGCTATGCGCTCCACATCTTCTTGGCCGCCAAGGGAGCAGCCTGGGTGGCTCCAGAACGACTCAAGGACGTGTTGTTGTAGGATTTGTGGGTTTGGAAGAGAGTGTTCCACAGTTTCGGTTTTCCTTGCTGCTTTCTTGTTGAGGGAGGGGAGGCGGGTTTAGGGGCTTTTAGACATCATAGATTGACGTCGGGTGTTGCAGGTTTGACGTTGTGCGTCCTTTTAGGTGGCTGCCCTGATGTGGGGTTCCAAACAACCAAGTCGCAACTCCACACAGTCCTCCCGGTTCCGTACAATATTTGCTGTATTATGGCCCAGAGCCGGACATTGGGGTCGGGGCAGATTCAGTGATTCAGGGGTGGGAAACCTAATCTCAGCCCGAACTTTGATACTCTGACAATTCCAAAACCCCCACAGCTGGCCTTCAATGTGAGGTTAGCTCTCCTGGCATTACTGACCTTACAGTAGAGACCGTCAGGCCTCGCAGAGAAGGATTTCAAAGCAAAAAGCGTCCCAATGCCCCGCAGGAGTGGGTTTAGGGTTTGTAGGTCTGAGGGTGCAGTGCAGGAATACAGCGCCAAGCCCGGCTACGCGGGAGCCGGGGCGATTTTTGGCGGAAGGGCTCAGGAGTGACGCTGGTCTGGATTTAGGGCTGAGGGTGTAAGCTTTGGCAGTAAAGTTCTTCAGTTAGGATTCTTTATGTAACTGCATAAGAAGTCTATATCACCCCGAACATCCTATGCTACTTCTTGCGGCCATCTGTCAGGGTTGAGATAAGTATTTCGACAGGCTTTTGGGGTTTAGGGTTTCGCTGTGATTAGTTTCGGGTTTAGGCCTGTGCCTACAATCTTTGTCTTTGGCCCTGCACCCAAACTCCTAAACCTTAGCCACTAGAGTGCAAGGGTCCAGAACCAGATATTGTCGTGCTCAGCAGGAGTCGGCTATTGAGGCAAACAGCTGTGAGGATGTAGGATTCGAGCTTGTCGGGGGGTCCAGAAGGGGCCGAAAGCCGGTTTAGGAGCTCTTTCATCAGATGTCTCCCTTGAAGAGCCTGGGCCCAGAGTGATTGTGCAGCAGGCTCTTCAGGGCATTTTGGCCCCCAAGGCTCCAACTCTCAACTCAAGAGTTCTGCGTGGAAGCCGAAGAAATCTCCTTGCGCCTCTGAGGTCGGAACTGTCGCAGCCGGCCTCCCTTCGCGGTCCTGGTGGAAGTGCAGAAGATCTTGCAGGAAGCTCTAAGCCCGAAGCCCTCCGCAACCCAGAAGACCTGGCACAAAAGAAGCCCAGAAGCTCAGCCCCGAACTCTGAAACCCTAAGCCCGGCAACCGAAAGCCCCAACTCTGAACCCGTGACACAATCACAACCCGAAGCCCTAAACGAGCTCGGAGAGCTTAGGGTTGTGAGGCTTCTCGCCTTTCGGAGCTTCAGGACAGAGCAAGAGCCGAGAAATATAGAGGACAAGTGGGTGGTTGTCAAAATGAGGGTCCCTTTTTTTGGGTAGCCTAAAAATTATGTGCAATCGTATATTAAGCCACCAAAAAGGGACCCTAGTTTTGACAACCACCCAAGTATCTTCAGTGGTCTTGGGATTTTCCTCTTCTCTACGCTTACCAAAAGGGCAACTCTAAAGGACTGTTACACATACTTAAACTTACGGTTCTTTAGTAGTTCTTGGGCACTTAAGAGGCTACCTCGAGTCTCAGTTGTAGTTCCTGTTTTGGCTGGGAAGTTTTACGTTATGGGACCATAACCAGAAAGTTGTTTGACCCCAAAGAGGAATTCAAACGCAGACTTTAGGTAATTTGGTTTGTCCTTGTGGAAGGACCGATGCCTGTTGCACTCCTCTTCAACTAATGGGAGAAGGGGCTCGCACTGGCCTACAGCCCTTTCAGCAGGCGGCTATTTGGATGACTTTGAAAATGAGGCGCCCCAAAATCACTAGATAGATCAGCATTTCAGGGACCTTCAATTTGGGACTATATTTTCGAATCCCGAGTTCAGGGCTTTGTCCGGTTTAGGCGGACATAGAACTTTGCGCTGCCAGTGGAGGAGATGAGGATGAGCCGGCACGATGCTGAGGCCGCGAGCTCGAAGCAGTGTGGCCTTGTTGTAGACGGGCCAGAAAAGAAACCCAAAGCCCTCAATTTGTGGAAGATGGCCTCGGCTGTCGTGGGACGGTTAGTGAGGTAAGTTTAGGCGCCTGAATCATTCAAAAGGCTGTTATTAGGCGCCTGAAAAGGCGGCTGAGTTGAGCGCCTAAGAAGGCGGTTATAGGCGCCTGGAAAGGCGGTATAGTTAAGCGCATGAAACTGCGGTTGGGCGACTAGGCGAGTTAAGCGCCTGAAAAGGCGGCTATAGCGCCTGAAAAGGCGGCTGAGATGAGCGCCTGAGAAGGCGGTTATAGGCGCCTGGAAAGGCGGTATAGTTAAGGGTTAGGCGACTATAGGCGAGTTAAGCGCCTGAAAAGGCGGCTAGGCGCCTGAAAAGGCGGCTGAGTTGAGCGCTTGAAAAGGCGGTTATAGGCGCCTGGAAAGGCGGTATAGTTAAGGGCATGAAACTGCGGTTGGGCGACTAGGCGAGTTGAGCGCCTGAAAAGGCGGCTATTGCGCCTGACAAGGCGGCTGAGTTGAGCGCCTGAAAAGGCGGTTATAGGCGCCTGGAAAGGCGGTTTTTTTTGGTTAAGGGTTAGCGCGAGTATAGCGCCTGAAAGTTGAGCGCCTGAGAAGGCGGTTATAGGCGCCTGGAAAGGCGATATAGTTAAGGGTTAGGCGACTATAGGCGAGTTAAGCGCCTGAAAAGGCGGCTATATAGCGCCTGAAAAGGCGGTTATAGGCGCCTGGAAAGGCGGTATAGGTAAGGGTTATAGGCGACTAGGCGAGTTAAGCGCCTGAAAAGGCGGCTATAGCGCCTGAACGGCGGCTTAGTTGAGCGCCTGAAAAGGCGGTTATAGGCGCCTGGAAAGGCGGTATATAGTTAAGGGTTAGGCGACTAGAGCGCCTGAAAAGGCGGCTGAGTTGAGCGCCTGAGAAGGCGGTTATAGGCGCCTGGAAAGGCGATATAGTTAAGGGTTAGGCGACTATAGGCGAGTTAAGCGCCTGAAAAGGCGGCTATAGCGCCTGAAAAGGCGGCTGAGTTGAGCGCCTGCAAAGGCGGTTATAGGCGCCTGGAAAGGCGGTATATAGTTAAGGGTTATAGGCGACTAGGCGAGTTGAGCGCCTGAAAAGGCGGCTATAGCGCCTGAAAAGGCGGCTGAGTTGAGCGCCTGAAAAGGCGGTTATAGGCGCCTGGGCGACTATAGGCGAGTTAAGCGCCTGAAAAGGCGGCTATATAGCGCCTGAAAAGGCGGTTATAGGCGCCTGGAAAGGCGGTCTAGTTAAGGGTTATAGGCGACTAGGCGAGTTAAGCGCCTGAAAAGGCGGCTATAGCGCCTGAAAAGGCGGCTGAGTTGAGCGCCTGCAAAGGCAGTTATAGGCGCCTGGAAAGGCGGTATATAGTGATAAGGGTTAGGCGACTAGGCGAGTTCGCCTGAAAAGGCGGCTATAGCGCCTGCAAAGGCGGCTGAGTTGAGCGCCTGCAAAGGCGGTTATAGGCGCCTGGAAAGGCGGTATAGTAGAGTTAAGCGCATGAAACTGCGGTTAGGCGATAGAGGCGGTTGAGTTAAGCACCTGAAAAGGCGGCCGCATCATGAGTTAAGCGCCTGTAAGGCGGTTAGGCGCTTGAAAAGGCGGTTGAGTTAATCGCTTGTAAGGCGGCACGCAAGGGTGATTTAAGTGCCTGTAAAGGCGCAATGGTACAGTCTGTATGTATGTATGCATGCATGGATGGACGTATGTATGTATGTATCTCAGAGCATCCCGCCGGCAGAATTGGTGTCGTCCATAGACTCGAGCACGTTGTACAGTCTGTACTCACCACTTTGAAGATCGGCTGAGCTTGCTGAAGATCGTGAAGGATGCAACTTGGCCGGTTGGTGAAACTGGTGACCTTTGCAAACATAGCCTCAAACCCCACTCGCCTGTACCATCAACCTAAGCATTAGCGCCTGCAGTGGAGTTCTTTTGGTAGTACAGTGGATAAAAGTCGTGATCCGAACCAAAGAATTACCAACAGACCCCGCAGAACTGCACTGGACCGTCAACGGCAATGCTTGACCCTAGCGCCGATAGTCGACAGCCTCTGTTCAGCGTCTACGGTTAAGGGAACACCGTAAACGTGAGACCCTGGACCGTAAAGCCTAACTTCGAGGAGCCATCACTTCAATTTCTTCTGAAACGAAGAGCCCAACACCCCAAAGCCCATCATTGCGACTGCAGATCCATGTGATGTGCGAAGACGAGTTTGGAACTGTCCTCCCCCTGGAGACACGGCGAAACAGATTTAAGGTTTGGGGTTTCCGGAAAGGGCTTAGGATGGACATTTTGGGATTGAAGGGCTTATTTCTGCACAAGCAGACCTCCTGCCTTCTGTGGGCGATCCTCGTTCAAGGTTTCAATATCAGTAGCAAAAGGTACTCTCTGAGATGTTTTCTTTTTCTCTCTCTCTCTCTCTCTCTCTGTCTGTCTCCCCCCCTTTGCAAACCACAGCCGCCGAAGCCCCGAATGCGAACGGCCCCAAACCGACAAGGCCCCCTTCCCCATCGCCATCCAAGGACAAGGCCCTCAAGCAAAAAACCCTCAAACCCTAAAGCCCGAAACTAAAACACCCTAAACAAAACTACCCTAATCCTAAACCAAAATACCCCAATACCCTTGAAAACAAAACCTAATACCCTAAACCAAAATACCCGAAAATCCGGCACCCAAGGACGAGACGCCAGTTCCACGGCCCGTAGCGGCCTCGGTAGATCACTCTCGAAGCCACCCTTTAGTCCCCCGAGCCCTCTTGTATTCGCGCTTTTTGGATTTAGGAGCTTGGGTTTAGGGTTTTGGACTAACGGCTTTCGGGATTTAGGGTTTAGGGTTTAGGGGTTCAGGGCTTTTAGGATTTCGGTTTTGCAAGCTTCAGGGTTGAGGCGTTGGGGTTGGGATCGGGAGGTCTAGTTTAGGGTTAACTAGGGTTCAGGTGAAATTCATAACGGCAGGGGAGCTGGATCTCCAAGGATATCGCTTCGTTTCAAACGAGGAGCTTCAGACCAAAGTCCCAGAGGTCTGAGTTGTGCCCGCACCTGAAGTCAGGACTTCTTTGTCTCGGGTCCCCATTCGCACTTCCAAAAGGGGGGCAAGTAAAGTCTTTCGAAGCAACCTCGCAAGACAGGAGGGCCAACTACAGTGTTTCTGAAATCGGCCCTTTAGTCATTTGGGAGTTTCCGAAAATGGGGTACCCTAGTATAGTACCCCAAGTAGTAGGATCCTTATTATGAGGACCCCAAAATAGGGTGCCTGCGCAGTAGCCCTTATTTTCGGAAACTCCCATTTGCTCCTGCTTCAGGTCTTCATGGGCCCCTGGTTCGAGGACGTCGACTCGCCGCTGCATAGTGGGGCGTCCGGTGTCGAGGCTTCTCGCGGGCCCAAAGTCGAAGCGAGGTTTAACTGCAGTGGCTAGGGTGGTGCAGCGCTCGGAATCGCCATCAACATCATCAACAACAAGATCACCATCGTCATCTGCATCGTCACCTCCATCAACCTCACCTTCGTGACTCATCATCCTAATTGCAATCCTTCATCTCCACTATCCTGATCAGAATCGTCAGCATCCTGGTCAGTGAATTCGTGGAACTCATCATCGAGGCTCATCCTCTAGGCCTTCAGCTTTACACGCAAGCTCCTAGAGCTACTTTACTTGTCGCACGAACAGCATACCATCTCATTCCTTAAAGCGTGTGAGCAAAGAAGCATCAACAGGGGCGAGGCTCCGGCCATCTCGATACAGCCCTCCTCATGGCTGCAAAGGCCCAGTTCTTCTCTCTCGCTGAAAGCTGCGAGATATGCCCCTGCTCTTCGGCCCCTGACCCGACCCCATGAGCCTAAGATAGTTCAGGGGTTTAGGGGTTCATTTAGGGGTTTAGGAGTTTAGGAGTTTAGGAGTTTAGGGGTTTAGGGGTTTAGGGGTTCATCGAACGACAATGATGGAGGTGCTGCAGCTGCAAAAGGCGCTCACACGCCTTGGTTATCTTGCAGCGCCTCGATGCAAGTCGAGATTTCACGGTTAATGTAGGCCCCTGATTAAACCCGCCCGTTTCCCTGATACGCCCCAGGGTCTCGCTGCACGGCTTTAGAAGTTTGGGGGTTACATGCCTCAGGGGCATTGGTCCGGGCGTGGGTGGACAATTTGCTTCCTGAGGTTAGCATCTGGGATGTGGGTTGTTGTCAAAACTGTGGTCCCTTTCTGGGTACCTTAAATATTAGGTGCCGTATCATAACAGGGACCCAAAAAGGGTCCATGATTTTGACAACCACCCATGTGGTTTATGGACCAGTCGTGTTGTGAACTCTAAGGCTTCGCTGGGGTAGTTGCGTGGGGTCCTTATATTGATTCCACTGTTCAGGGTTTCATGGGGTTTCTATGTGGGTCCTCCTTTTTCTGCTCCTGTCATATGTGTCTAGATTCTGCAAACCTCACATGCCCCAAATCATTCAACAAGACCCCCTGAACCCTAAACCCCTAAACCCCTAAACTCCTAAACCCCTAAACTCCTAAACTCCTAAACCCCTAAACTCCTAAACCCCTAAACCCCTAAACTCCTAAACCCCTAAACCCCTAAACCCCTGAACCCTAAACCCCTAAATCCCTGACCCCTAAACCCTAAACCCTAAACCGTCTGAGGAGGATCCCAACTTCGCCTCTGGGGTCTTCGATGAGACCACCGCTGCTTCTCTCGAAGGGGAGGAGGGGGTAAGTTGGGATTTTGGATTTTAGGTTTTAGGGTTTAGGGGTTTGAGTTGAGGGTTTAGGGTTTAGGGTTTTGAGTTCAGGGTTTTGGGTTTAGGGTTTTGAGTTTAGGGTTTCGGGGTTAGGGTTTAGGGTTCTGGGACTAAGGGCAGGGTTTAGGATTTTAGAGTGTGGGGTTTTGGGGCGTTCGGGCTTGGGTCAAGTTCTTGGTTGATGCAACTGTACGGATTGTTTAAGGCCTGGACGGCTTCGGGGTTTTAGGGTTGTAGTTTGTAAGTCTACGGTTTAATGTTTTGTAGGGCTTAGCACGTGTTGGTTTCATATTTTTGCGTTTTTGAGTATTCGTGCTCCAGGGAACCTGAGCGAGTAGCAGCAGTGGACACAGAGAACAGCACATCGGCAAATATGTGTGGTCGTGTTCAGAGTTGTCTTTCCGGCGGAGCTTCTTTGTCTGTCAGTGTTTTGCTATCGGCCTGCTGCTGGGCCGGCTGAAGGGGGGATCTTATCAGTGTTCTGCAACGCCTGGGGTGCGACGGGGAACACAAGCGACTGGCGACCCAAACCCAGGCAGAGGCCGTGAAGGAGTTCCAGCGATTTAGCGGCCTCACTCAGGAGCATCTGTGGGAAATTCGCGGTCGCATTCCCCGATTTCGCTTGAAAGGGAGGGTGATTCTGGGGTTGAAATCGACGCCTGCGAGTTATGTTCTGACGACTAGGAACATCGGCTGTGGGGCCGAAGGTCTTGAGAAGTTGGGGTTGAGTTCCTTGCCTTAGTGCCCTCAAGGCCACCCAAACTGCATCAGCCCCTTATCATCTTCAAAGATGGCAGCCCCGAAATCCCGATTAGTTCAATTCTAGAGGACCCAAACCTACAACCCTCCACCCTCAAACCCAGAACTCTTTACACTCCCCTAAACCGCTCCTTCCATGCCTTGCAACCGATCTGGATTTACATGAAGACCGCCCGCGCATGCGCAGGATTGATGAATTCGGAGGATATGAGAAGCAAGCCTTACAGAAACCTCCCGCCAGGATGGCATCGTGGGTCCTGTGACCAAAGCTCAACTGACCGCGCAGCGCTTCGACAAGATGCCAGACGTCAACCTTGGAGGCCTGTTCTGATATTCATTAATATGCAGTTTATGAGGGGTCTAAAAGGGTTCTGTAAGGGTTCCACTAAGGGCTCTATAGAGTTTCTACACAAGGTTTTATTGGGGGTTCTATGAAGGTTTCACTGAGGGTTCTATAGGGCTTATGTTCGATACTTTAGCATCATAATCGGGTTTTCTTGTCATAGGGCTTGAATAGAGATCGAAGCCTCTTGGCCTCAATACCTAGGCCAGGTTGTGGAGGAGCTTTGCTTCGGAGAGACTACAGGGCATCCTAGATCCAGCTACATCCTCCAATGCTAGATCCGGAGAACTATGGCTTTAAATATTAGAGCAGGGTTTTGGGGCCCATTATACTATAACTACAATAAGCAACCCCCAAAATAGTATTGGTAATTATTTAGGCCCCTACACTAAGCCCGTTTCGTAACCCTCGAAGGAACCCTTATAATACCCTTTAAAGAGACCCCCAAAAGAGTATAGGTAATTATCTAGGCCCCTACGTTAAGCTCCAGATTTCGGTCCCAAGTCGACAGGTAGCCCCTTCAAGGACGGGAAGCTGACGCCCCTCGGCGAGGAGAACTGGGTTCTCGTAGGAAAGGGTTTCCTGATGATGGCAAGTTAGGGCAGGTTCCTGTGCAGGCTCAGAGAAACAAGATGGAGAGGTTGATCGCAGCCTCCAACAGTCAGACTCTCTGAAGCTTAATCCCTATGCCCGCAACCGAATAGCCTCACAATAGTAGGCCCTAAACCCTTCGGTGCTGAGGGCACGCTGTCGCAAGCAGCCATGTCGAGGCTTCATTTCATTCAGGCTCAGCGTTCATGGCTTGATAATTTGTCACTCTCCGGAAGTTGAGAGTTCAGGGTTTACGTTCGCGAGCTTCTGAAGTCGGCCCATGGCGGCTTACAAGTTTGGGTTTCAACGCCTTGCAGCCATTCCTGTTCTCGCTAGCTCCAATGCCCCTCAAAACCGAAGCTGAACTTAAATTAACGAAACCTACCCTAAACCCTAAACCCTAAATCCCTAAACCCTAAACCCTAAACCCTAAAAGCCTAAGCTCGACCGCCAAGTTCGGCCCCAGCCTGTGGTTTTGAGGTATGCGGTTGGCTTGCTGCCGGGTTACCTGGAGCGCTTCTTGGTCCGATATGCCCTTTTGCCCTCTACAGCGCAAGCCGCTACTCGTACTGCTACCGCTATTACTACTCCTACTACTACTACTACTACTACTACTACTACTACTACTACTCCTACTACTACTACTACTACTACTACTACTACTACTACTACTACTACTACTACTACTACTCCTGCTGCTGCTGCTACTACTACTACTACTACTACTACTACTACTACTACTACCACCCCTACTCCGATATACTCCCACGCCTACCCCGACTCTGCTCTACTGCTGCTGCCGCTGCCACTGCTACTAAGATGCTACTACTGCTATTACTTCTACTGATACTACTGATACTAACTGCTGCTATGACTATGACTATCACGATTACGACTACCGCCACAACTACGGCTACTACGACTATAGTGCGACTACTACGGCTACAACAGCTACTACCGCTACGACGACTATTTCAATTGAACGCTGCGCGAGCGTGCTCTGCGCTTTGCGGGCGCCTTTGGTCTCATGCACTCGTGAAACTGCTTCTAGCATGCATCGCTCAGGTCTCTCTAATCAGCTCGAACTTGACATACTACTGCAACTGCTACTGCTACAAAAAGCTTCCTTCTCCGACACCTTGGTGTGAACAGACGCGTCCATCTGTGCACCTGTCTCAAACAACTAGGCCGTACCTCAGAGGAAGCCGCCACCTGGAGTATCCGTCTCGTGGCGTCCCACACGGATTACTCATGTTGAGGACAGAAGGCCGTAAGGGTCATGTGCGGATGACCGCTGGTACCTGAAGCAATTTCGGTGGCGTGAGTCTTTGGGCAGCTATGATGCTGGCAATTTGCTGAGCAAAGTGCTGTTTTAAGCGAGGCTAGCACGCGATTCACATTCTTCCGAAGAGATGTGCTAGGCGTCGGAAGAGTGCCGAATTCCCTGAGTCTGTGACATAAGGGATCATAGAGTCTGTGACATATTACCGCCCTCACTGGTCATGACCTTTTGGCCACTGCTGAGAGTATCCGTGCCAGGACCACTGCTGCCACCAGTCCCAGTCGTCGTCCTGAGATGAGCGTGCCTGTCTGGCCCACTGGGACGAGGAGGATGAGGAGGGGCCATCGCGCTGCCGCTTGCCCTCTGTGTCAGCCTCCTGCATCTGTGGGCGCTTGTGAGTTGCAGCAGCAGCCAGCTTGGCCATGCGCTTGTCCTCTTCGTTCCCTTTGTCATGCTGTATCCGCATCTTCATGATGGAGTAGGCATTTTTGTCGGGTTTGACCCGGAAGACACGAGCTGGGAGTCCAGCTGATTTTGCAGTCTCATTGTAGACTGCCACTATGGTGGTGGCGATCATATTGAATTCGACCCACGAGGGGAAGTGCTGCTGAAAAGCCTTTTCGTCCCACATCTTGTTAAAGCAGGCATGGATAAGGCCATGCACTTTTGTTGGTGCGTCCAGCTCACGGTAGGCGTCACCCGCGCCTGTGGCGATGGTGACCTTCCCATCGCTTGTGAGGACCCGCCTCACCGACATGGCGGTGTCCCATGTGAGGCCGGTTTGCGTCCTTACGGACTTGATGGCAGAGAACAGCGGCGGAACTTCTCGGAGTGCTTCCATCCTGGTAGACCAAAGGGTCTGTTGTTCCTGGTTGGTGAGGCCGCCAAGAATGACCGGAGCCACCAGGATGTTGATGGAAGCTAAGGCCCGAATCCAGTCTTGATGGGACTGGGAGCTCAGCAGCTGAGCCAGCTCCTGCCGCGTGTAACGTACTGTCAGCCGTGGAGCCGGCTGTGGGACATAGCCGACGAGTTCCGCATTGGATTCCGGAGGCTCATATGCTGACGGGGGGCGAGAAGAGGGAGGAGGGGGCGTGTGGGAGCGCGGAGCGGCCTGGGTGGCGGGGGTTGGAGGAGAGACGGACTTGGGGGGGTGCGGAAGGATCGGGGGGACCGGAATCGCAGGAGGGGGGGCTGGTGCCGCCGATGAAGAAGAGGGCGGGGGGCATTGGGTGGCCACCATGGGCGGTGGGGCCTTAACCGGAAGCGCCGGGGCCGCCTTCGGTGTTTCTGCTTGGCCTGCTTTGAAGGCCGCCTTTTCGATTGCTGAGGAAGTGAAAGGGCAAGGGGGGGAGGGTGGCGGCTCAAAGCCGGCTGCTTTGTCTACACCTTTGGTCCTGGTACTGCTGGGGGGGAGAGGAATTTCCTGTGGGAGCTTGGGGGGAGGAGGAGGGGGGGGAGTGTGGGGGTCTGGCGTGGCACTGAGTGCTGGGTTGTGCTTCTGAGTGACAAAGTGGTTCTTAAGGCCGTGGCTAGTGCTGAATTGCACCTGCCTGTTGTGCTTGCGGCAGTGCAAGCAGCATAGCCACATGTCCCCCGAGACTTTCACTTGCCCTAATCCTCGAGGGATAAGCTCCAGCACATCCTGCTCTGTAAGGTCTTGATTGTAGTGGTGGGTTTCACGGACCGTAGCCATCTGCAAAGGAGTTGTACTGGATGCTGTCGGCCACATAGGCTTCAATATCCTCCTGAGTGGGAGGAGGGGGAGCCGATGAGGCGGTTGCCATGGTCTGTGACCTAGGTGGCTGTGGTGAGCTGTGCTCTTCAGGTCTGTCAGACTGGATTTCAAGGGAAATGTCAGGGAGTTGGCTCTGCAGCATGCGGTCTGTGCGTTCCTTGGTGGTTGGGTCTCCCTGAAATCCCTTCAGCCACTTCCAGCAACGGGTATATGCAACGGTCGTGTTGTTGGTAGTCACGAAGTAGTGGCCATCATTGTCGTACTTCTTGTTCTTCACTCGCTTGTCCCAGCGCTCCGAGAACAGGTAGATGGGGCCGAATTTGGTGGAAACATTCCATCCCGGCTGAGGGGAGTGACCAAGGTCTCGACCCAAGATCTGCCAAAGATATTTGCAGAAGGTCATGTATTCCAAGTTTGCCTTCGCTGTCATGACCTGACGGCTGAAGGCGTGCTGTATGGCTTCCCTCATCAAGGGGTGTCTGGGCTTGCCATAGATGATGCCTTGAAAAATATGATCTCCTTTGACTCCTATGGCCATGACCATGAACTCCTGTGGGAGTTGGCCAGGTGGGGAGGGTCTGTGACCCACTTCACCTGCCTTCTTTGAGTGAGCTGTGCTCCAATCTGCTGCGAGATACACGAGTACCTGTTCCCAAGGTACCACGAAGCCACATTTGATGTCGACGTAGAGGCCGCCGTGCTGGTAGTGGTAGACGTAGCGGAATACGTCTGCTCGATGAGCAGGTTGGCTGAGGCGATCCAGCAGATTGGAGCCGTACTTTCCTGCGAGTTGCCGCAGGGTAGCCCGAAGAACATCATCATCACAGAATCTGCGGGTGAAGCCAGCAAACATTTTGGCCGCGACTTGGGCCGGTTCCGGCTTTTCGTCGTGAACGTAGGTCTGGAAGAGGAGGGCTGGGACAGGGGCGGCTTCCCATTCTGGGAGATGTGTGAAGCGCATTCCCCAGGGGCCATGTCCGTATTGCATGGCTACCTCTGAAAGATCACGGACCGTTCGGCATTGTGACAGAGCCTGGGCAGCCAGCATTTCGACATGCATGTCCTGCTCGCGAGCGTTCCAACCAGCGACCACGAGGATAGGCAGTCCTGGGGTGTTGCGCATTTCCTCGATGGCTCTGGTTACAAGCGCCGGGATGACAATGTCCGCGACGTCGGGGCGGAAGTGAAGGTTCTTGGAGTTGTAGAGCCATTCTACCCCTCCTACACCAGGCATCTGGGCCAGGTCCATGATTTCTTGGTTGTGCAGGTTCTTGTCCGCGAAACCATATTGGACCCTGCCATCGATCAGGTAGTCATAGTTGATTTGCTTCTCCGGGCGCAGGCTTCGAGACAGCGGAATGAAGCGAACGTTGATTTGTCCGTCGAGGTGGTTCTCCAAGATGGAGGCCACCGGCGGACTCTGCACTGCCGCTGTGAATTTGTGCGGCCCAAAGAGCCCAAATTGCCAGTGGAGGAGCTCCAAGATGGAGGGGACGCTGCCGGCAGAAATGTTGAGGGCGGCGCCTGGGCAGCTTAAGACCTGTCCCGTCAGCAGCGGGAACACTCCGTAAGTGTGTCCCCGCAGCATGTGCTGCAAGGTGCTATCGCTGAGCACCAGAAAAGGGCCCAGACTGGGAGGTTTGTCCATGGTCTCAGCTGTAGCTGATGGGCCAGAGTCTGTGACACGCGGCCAAGTGGTGAGCTGTGCTCTTCGTAAAGACGCAGTTTGTTACGAGAAGTAGCTTCTGCAAGGCGTGTCTGTAATGCATGTTGCGATACTCCTGCCGCTCCGTCCGGTACAACAGTTCGAACTGACAGCTGCGGTATACATGTAATGCTTAGCAGAGTCTCAAGACCAAGCACGAAGCTCAAGCAACGCTGGACGACTCTAGGCAAAGAACACCAGCAGAGGGCACTCGGGCTGAGAGTTGGTGCCGTGTGGAAGCTGAGACCTCAGATCTCAGGTCACAGGTGAGAGCAAACAGTGATGCAAGTAGCTGAGTGTTAGCATGCTGCAAGTCGATTTCTCTGGGCAGGGGAGCCACTCGTTGCTGACTGTGACAAGTTGGGTGGCTGTGCCACACCTCACTACGACGACTACGACGACTACGACGACTACGACGACTACGGCTGCTCTGATTACGACCACGACGACCACCAAGTCCCAACCCTAAGATTTGAACCCGCGGCTCAGAGGCTACCGGGCGGACTGCCTCCGCGAGATGCACGAGGCGCCTGGGAAGCCCAAAGGCCTTGCAGCTGTGCTTCAGGCTTCTTTGAAGTTTAAAGATTTCTCTTGAAGTTTCCATAACCGGTTCCTCTGGCGAAGGTTCCCTTGAGGGTTCGCCTAAGGCTTCCTTGAAAGATTCCCTGAAAGTGCAGAGGATTCTTTGGCCCCCCTGGATCCCGCAGGCTCTGCATCGCTTTGGCTCCACTCGATGCCAGAGTCGAAAACTCCTCTTTAGGGTGCCGGCTTCTCGATTCCATGTCTAGAGATGCCAGGCCAGCGCAGGTGTCTTGGTCTTGGTGTAGGGTAAAGGCTTTAAATGAAGCCTTCCAAGCCCTATTGCTGGGATACTTTTAATTTCAACCCTGAGCTCGTTTTCGGAAGCTGGTGAGGTTTTGCGGGTGCCTGGGAGCATGCGTGAGGGGTCCCAGGCCTAAGCCGCAGGAGCAATAAGCACCCTAAAGCCCCAAAAAACCTCAGAACTCTAGAACCCCTACTCAGTACTATCAATACTAGTGTTGTTGTGGGTATGTACCATTATTGTTATGCATGTTGTTATCATGACGGTTATCATTACTGTTATTCCCTTGTCACAACGAAGATTGCAAAGGCCCTCTAAAGGGAACTCCAGAAAGTTGGAATATGGATTAATGGTCGGATCCCCTGTAATTTACCTTAAAGGGGTTACGATAATGATATTCCAACTTTCTGGCTTCTACTATAAACCCACTCGGCGCTCCCCGGGAAGCCGGGTCCGAAACGAAGCAGTGCGAGATTGGAGGCCCTGGCTCAGTGGTGCACTGCGCTAGGCGCCTGGGAGGGCGAGACCTGGGGCTTGTTTCTTTTTTTTGGGGGGTTGTTTTTGATGTGTGTTTTTTGTGCTTTTAAGTTTTAGATTTTAGAGGGTTTGGGGCTTCAGGGCTCTAGGACTTTCGGGTTGTGCGGTTCAGGGAGTTTAGGGCCTGCAAAAGGGTTGCCGTGATACCCACGCTCCACACTGTCTGATGTTTCGGGAGGACTTGTGGAGTGTGTCTGTCCGGTATCTTTGAAGCGATGAGGTTCTTCCTCGGTGTGGGTCTTGCGTGGCGTGCTTATTGTTTGCTTTATGTGGTTGGGTTCGAGATTCGAGATATCTCCCCTTGCAGCTATGATTCGTATGGACGTGCTCGATCCGAATGCAACTTGAACGAGCGTTGTCACCCTCGTCAAAGCCCGACTCTGTGCGGCGACTGTCGAACTGAAGCCCTGCCTATGTGCGGAGACAGGTATGGAGCTGAAAAGGCAGCTTGCTCATATTGGCATGGTGTTGAGTGGGACTGCTGTGGTTTGCTGTCGGAGATTGGGAGCTACGGATTCGAATTGTCAAGCCCTGCCCCAAACACTCCCAACGCCCCGACACCGTAGGCTTGCAACCTTAAGTGCGGCGTTGAACTAAGGACGAGCCATCTGCAAGCTCGTCTCCACATCGTCTTCCAGCCATTGGCAATGGCTGGTGCTGAAACTCGGGCTCTTTCAATATAGAAGCCTGAGTAAATACTCATACTATGCCTGAGCCTTCGGGGTCCTGCCCAGACCATCGCAATTATACCACACAACACCATTCTACTTAGTGTTAAGGCCTTCATATCAAGCTGTTTCCTAGGCTTCCAGGATGTTTCGATGACTGAGGCTGCGAGTTCCAGCCTTTAAATTATGTCAAAACCTGCGCCCTTGTCTATTAAAGCTCCCCACATGACGCACATCCCAAAGCCTGCAGCCGGAAACCCTACCTATGCCTGGGCCCATACCCCTGAAACCCGAAACCTTTAACGTGAAGCTTCCTAAACCCTACAGATCTAGACCCTTAAGCCTAACCTCCGAAACCCCTGAAGCCCTAAACGCGAGCCCTTACATGAGAAAGCTTATCTAACTCCCTGAAACCTTGGAGCCCTGCCCTTACTACAAGGAGCCGGAACCCGGCGGGGCACTCGCGGAGGCAGCGGCTCTGAGGGTTTGTTAAATTTTTTGGGGGGTTCGGGTTTAGGAGGCTTGAGGGGGTTTGCGGTTCTATGTTCTAGGGGTATGAGGTCTTGGATTCTAGGATTCAAGCACGGTCTTGGGTTTGAGGGTTTTGGGCACGCCAGAAACAGGCAGCTAGGTCAACTCTGTGCTGTGTGAACAGTAGCCACCATTGCATGGATGTATCCCCTAAACCCTAAGCCCCAAACCCTAAACCCCAAACCCTAAACCCCAAACCCTAAACCCTAAACTCATCATCCCAGCATTTGGGAACCCAAGATCTTCCAACCAGTAGCCTTGTTGTCGCTGGTAGGGGCTCTCGAACATCGGCATGACATCCCAAACCAACAGAACCGAAACGCTAGCCCGATCGGAAAAGGGCCCTAAAAACAACCTTGGCCTGAAGGACGTTAGTCATTTAGTAGCACTTATGCCTTCATATTACCTGCGCCATAAAACATCCCCCTAGGATCTCGTTTAACTAGTACGGCCCTCTGTTACAGTCTTGTGTGTTTGCTTGGAGAGGCGACGGCGAATCGCATCGTGCAACTTAGCCTGAAGGGAACTCACGTGTGGAGTAAGAATGCTTTGCAAGCAAGGAGCTGCAAGGGCTTACGGAGTTGTATAAGTTGTTGTTGCTGTTTTTGCCAGGGCTTTAGAGGGGGTTTGCTTGAAGGGGGATTTGGTGTCTAGGCTGGAGGCCCGTAGGTTGAGAGTTTGGGGCCTGACTTGGCTTAGGATTTCCAAGCCAGGGCCAAATACAAACTACCGATCCTTGAGAAGAGTTGGTGTTTGGTTTCTCAGTCATGGCTTCAGGCTTAATGTCCCAAAGCCTCTGAACCAGGTAAAGCTCACAGCCTCAAGAACCGCCAAACTCCTAAACACAATTAGCCTTAACACCCGCGCACCCCAAAAAAACTATGTAACCTCAACACCCCTCGAAGCCCTTCAGCTTCATCGCAAAGCCGACGCCTGTATCCTACAATCCCAGCAAACCCCAAGCCCCTATACCGTAAGCCCTAAAGCGGACAAGGGGGCGCCATCGCACTTAAAAGAGACAGCCAAACTCCTAAACGCCTAAACCTTTAGACCTGAAACCCCTAAACCCTCAACGCCTAAACCCCTAAACCCTTAGGCCCTACAAAAACCCAAATCCCATATAAAAAACCGTTAGATTGTTTTGAACTTATACGCTGGGACCTATCTGAGGCTCGACTCCTCCGAGCGGTGGCTCCTCAAGGCCCGTCAGGGCTCAGAGCTTTGGGTTTACGGTTTGGGGTGCAAGGGTTTCGGGTTTAGGGTTTGGGGTTCAAGGGTTTAGGTGTGGGGTTTCGGGTTTAAGCCTTACGGGGTTGTGGGCTCAGGGCTTTTAGATGTCAAATTTTGGCGATATCTTCGTTGAGGCTGCGGCTTTAGGTGCGGTGCTTTAAGGTTTCGGCTGTTTTAGGGCTTTCGGTGTAGAGTTTCGGGTATGAGGCTTTAGGGCTTTAAGTTGTGTCGGGGGTTGAGATGCTCTGTAAGATCAGGGTTTTGGGTTCAGTGTTTGCTGTTCAGTGTTTTGGGGTTGAGGTCACAGTTGGTTAAGGATTTTGGGGTTGATGGTGCCCGGTTTCGGGTTTTGGAGTTGAGGTTTTGGGATTTCAAGGGCAAGAGTTGGGAGAGTTGGGTGTTGGTTTTGTTAGGTACCGGAAGGGCTTCAGGCATAATGCCTAGTTTCCTGAAGTACCAAAAGCTCGGAACCCCCGACCCACGAAATAACTATGTCTGCTATTCAGGGGACTGAATAAGTAGGCAAAGTTAGTAGCATTCATCTCTTATCATCTCTTATCCGAAAAGTATACCAAATAGCTATATATAACTCTTTATGGAGAGTACGTCTACCCTGGCGCTTTACTTGCGAAATCACGACAGACGATGAGGCCCAGACGAAGCCGGACCGCTTCCAGAAGGCCGGGGTGTCAGTTGACATACTTGGAGGTTCATGGGTAGTTACAAGTAGGGTTATAACTAGGGTAACTACACTTATAACCCGAATTTGGGGACTTATAACCCCACGTAAAACAAACTACCCCTGAACCTCCAAGTAGGTAGCGCTCGGGGCCGAGACCTGAGTCTTTGGGGTTTCGGCTTTGGGATTCGGAATTCGCATTTGGGCTTCAGGGTTGGGGGTTTAGGGCCGGAAGTCAAGCTGAAGCATTGCACTCCGTAGTCTTCGGCCTCCAGCTTGCCATCCCGGCCCAGATCGCCAGGCCTTTTATCTGTCTCCGGTCCTCCTGCACGAGGTTGGGCACAGCTCCTTGGGCAGCTTAAGGGCTTTCTGACATGCAAGCAAGTATTGCTGTTACAATGGTTATTTTCACTGTCATCAACGTTACTGTTATTGCTGCTTGTAGTTGCCCTTAGTGTTATTAATCGACACGGTTATAACTTCCTGCCGACGGCGTGTACTTTCTTGCATTGCTGGTATCCCCGTTGCTAGACACACGAGCAAAGTTCTCGCACGCGCAGAGTTTGCGTTGAGATGATTGCAGGCTCCACATTTCCAGCAAAAGATGAGAGTACTATAGGGCCTTAATAACATGTTGGGGCTCTTTCCCAGGATTGTAGTATAATATACGCCAAAACCAAACGACCCCTCTAGCTTCTTCAGCCCGACAGGCCTGCACCGCCAACCTTGCATCCTCAGCGGTGCAACCTTGCAACTTTCCCTGAGTGTAAGCCCGAAATCTGAACCCCAAACTCCGGAAACCGCCGTTGACCATGCCCGAAAACCTCCGTACTTCTTGACTCCAGACACCCAGTGCTAAGGCCTTGGGTTGAAGCACAGCTCGGACCCAGCTGACGTGATGTGGCCGTACTACAGGCCCGGACCAGGGTGGGGGAGGCTGTAGCATTCGCAGACCGTCTTGGGCATATGACTCTTGATTATTTGCTCAGGATGCTGGGCCTTCTCGGATTCTAGGTTCTTGCGTCTGTGGTTTTTGAGGCTTAAGGCATCTTCTGGTAGAGTCGCAGGTGGACGGCTCTGGCAATGAGAGAGTCGAGTCTTACTGTTTTATTGACAGCAAAAGCCACCATTTCTATGCGTTTGGCGTGTTCGAGCTGGCGTCGTAGGTCTGTCTACTTGCCGTTCCGTGCGTCGCACGATTGCAGTGACGAGGTTCTAAATCCTGCAGGTCATCGTCGCATTGTCACGACGGAAGCAGGGAGCAAGTCGAACTAGCACGAGGCTTAGCAACCCCCTGCCCTCTGGAACCCAAGCCTTCAACCCCAACCCCAAAACCCGGAGTGGTATAGACCCTCCTAACTCCCTCTACGGAGTAGCGAAAACTAACTTCAGGAGCCGTTTGCATCGGGCGTATTCCCGTAAACAGTAGTTGTCAGGCCGGAGCCCAACCTGGTGTTGTCGATGGCGGACTGCAACGCCTTGACTGCACTCTTTCGTCCCAGCAACGCACCCTGGCTGACCTTCAGGGTCAGATTTTCGGGTTTAGGGATTCGGGTTTAGGGTTAGAGGCTAGTTCATGGCAGCGGCGGGCATGTTCGCATCCTTGTCAGTGAAGCTTCCTCACAAAACGCAGAATGTCGGGCTTTGAAGCCATGTGAAGGCCATTGCCCGGAAATCTCAAGCCCTGAAAAGACATCTTCCCATTGCCATTCCGCGCGAAGGACTGCTGCACCCTATCTTGACTGAAGCTGGCGCTTCCAGCGTCTTTGGGCCTTGCCGATGGGAAAGCGCTAACTTTTCCCTCAGCGAAGAAGAGCTAAGGGCGAGTCTGTGTAGCGTCGGAGGCACAGCCCAAGACCCAACTTCCTTAGAAAGCCCGTAGAATCTGGACCCCGAAACCCTGCCCCCTAAACTCTAAACCCTGGCCTCACCAGTTGTTTTAACCCAGCCTCGCTGCTTTTTGGAGGTTTTAAACTCGCTGCTCCCCCTGAGTAGCTACAAGTCAAGATTCCTTGGGTTTAATCATCATCATCATCATCATCATCATCATCGGTTACGCAAAACCCCATTCTGATCAATAAGGCCCGTACGTTAATGCACTTTCAGAGTCCATCTCGCTGGCAACTTGGAGGAGCGCGTGGGGGTCGGCATCTTCGAAGAACATCTGTCCTGCTGGCCAAACGTGCCGGCAGGTGTTCCCAAAGCTCCCAACACCCTCAATTCAGCAACGGCTTACTGGTCAATGTTGCTATGCTGGAACTGGTATTTTCATTACCGTCAGATGTCATGTTTTTATATTCATTTTGATTGCGTATACTTCTGTTCTTATCATTGCGTTGGTTAGTTGTTGCTAGAACTGTTGTAACTATGTCTGTTATTGTGTTTTCTTGCATTCAGGTATTTCCTGAAAGGGTCATTGGGCTCTCTGGGTTGTTGTATTCAAATCCGCGCCGTAGGCGTGGCTTGGCCGGTTGTCCGGAGGAAAAGCATATGTCGGAGCCATCGTCTGCGGGATTCTTTGGTTCGGGTTCGGGTTTAAAGTGAGTATGGTTTGAGCGTTTATAGGCTTTATGCTCAGGGATTAGATGGGTTTAAGATGTCGGGCTTGTTACAGGTGTTAACATGACCGGCTTCTGGGATTTGTTTTGTTTGTTCGTGCATGTATTTCCGGCCATTTGTCTTGCCTTTCTCTGCCAAACGGTACGTTGGTTCAAGGAGTGCTACTTAGCAAGATTCAATTCTCGGGTTTTAAAATCTGGTCCGTAAGTGAGGGACTGATACCATGTATTTGAGCCTGCTTAAACCCGGTCAATCTTCACGACGTGCGGTGCCTTTCAACAGGGCAGGACAACCGCAAAGTGGTAGTTTTGGGGTCGGACAAGTTAGTAATAGAATCCCGTCATACCATACCCGTCAAACCTGCATAAGCATATTATGATGGACACCCAGTTCCAATCACCAAGGTCCCTACTTTGCAAGAATGACTCAAGTGACTCCAAGTTCTACAGTCTTGACATCTTTCAACGTAAGCCGCACGAACTTCCAATCCAATCCATCGCGATTCCTAAAGATCAAGCCCTAGGCCTTCTGCGCTGACGTTTAAACTCGGACCTTGGAAACGCCCTAAGTAAGATAACACCCCTAAGCTGAGACTCTAATTGAACCTTACGGCGCAAAATTCATGCAATAAACCTTAAACCCCAGACCTTTCTCGAGCACCGATTCAAGGTTGCAGATGTGATTCGTTTCATGGCCTTGTCGGCTCGTCCTTCGTAGTTCAACACATGGTGCAGCCTGCACGCGAAGCATTGCAAGCCCAAGGACAAGATGCTTAGAATTTCGGCTCTTCTACCTCTCAGTTTCGGATGAAGGCTTTCTAGCTCCCTGAACCTAAACGACAGCAGCCCTAAGCCTCAACCTTCGAAGCTTCTAGGAGTTAGGATCCGAACTTTACTTGCGAGCCAGATCAAAGAGCCCCAACTGCTCCCTACCCTCACGAGTTCCATGTAGGAGCTTCAAAACCCTACTCTAATTATTCGAGTCCCCGAAATGAGGGCTTTGGGTTCTAAACCCTAAGTGCTCAACTCTAAGTCCTGAACCATGAGCCCCACAGTCGATTTGTAAGCCTTGTCTGTCCGGCGCTAGCCATGCGCGTTGGACATGCGGTGGGGGGAGTGAAGAGAACAGATGCTTAGGGTTTAAGGTTTACCTGGACCCTAAGGAACCTACCTTTTTAGAGTTCCCTAATATGATTTCTTTATATAAGTCCTTCAAAAGGTAGGTTACTTGGGGTTAAGGTAGGGTTAGGAGTTTTGAAGCCAAGTTTCATGAGCGAGGCTGAGTTTGGGGCTTCCGAGCTCGGGAAGCGTGAGAGGGTGATGTTAAAAGGACTCATGGTGGTCTGGGGCTGGGGGTCACGTTTCTCGAGGCTTCAAGCAGAGAGTTTCAATGGGAACTCTGGGGTTTACAGTACGGCCCGATGATGCGAGTTGTGCCTGCGTTGTAGTTCAGCCACAAGGATAAGAGTTAGGGCTAGAGGCACAAGTCTTCTGGCCATTTTGCGGCGAGGCGAATGAAACGCCTGGCTCATGTTCAAGTCGCAGCTCTGCTCCTTCAGGCCTTACCGAGGTGGGAGAGTGCGCTGGACATCAGAATCTTAGTCTAGGTTCGTTGCGAGGGAGAAGATATGGAGCATGAAGTTTGCCAAGGCTTGGCAGCCCGTTAGGTCAAGAAGCCTAGACCCCTATGCCCTGAACCTTATGAGTCATGCTACTCTTAAGTAACCCTTTAAAGGAACCCTCATATCACCCTTATAGTAACTACCGAATCCCTCCAAGAAGCCGGCTGATCTCAGGCCTCCGTGCGAGGAGCACCGAGACCGAGGCGAGGTACTCTGGGGGTTTGAAAAGTTAGACATGATACTGCAATATTTCCCCAAATTACTCCTATAAGTCTTGTTCTTTTTAATAGCGCTATAACATGCCATGAAAAGCCATGAAACCCTGTTCTCATCATGAAAAAGTAAGGTCGCAAAACTAAATCCCGTGGCCGATGCGGGGAGAGGAAACTTGCGCGGGACCTTTTACGAACATCCAAAATCCAGTGGAGGACAGTAGACTCTTCGACCTGTCTTGGGGTGGGTGGAATAGTTTACAAAAGCGGGATAAGGGGGGGGGTTAGGGGGGTAGGGGTTTCGGGGTTTAGGGTTGAGGGGTTTAGGCGTTTAGGGTTGAGGGGTTCGGGTCTGGACGGGCCGAGGCGAATTAGTCAGGGCCTTGTCCGACTCTATACCTTCAGCCTGTGGGGGCCTTTGCATTTCGATTTGGTAACTAGAAGCTGCTGCTAGCGGTTGGCTTGAAAACATTGCCCTAAACCTTGAGACTTAAAACACCCAGTTTCTTTGCACCTTAAGCCCCCAAGAACGAACCTTTGGAGTCGTTTACCCACCTCAACACCCAAATCGTAAAGAATAAACTCCAACTGCAAATTTTAAGCACGAAACCTGCCACACCCGAGCACGAAACCTTCAACCATAAAGCTTGAACCTCAAGCCTACACCCTGAACCCGGCCGTTGGTCTTTGCCTCAGCCAGACACTCCGCAACCCAACAGTTAGCGAACATCCGGGTTCCTTCCTTAAGTGGCGTTGGAGTCCCTGACGGCCAGGGTCTGCTTGAATACGAGGTAAAGGCTCTTCCGTGAGAAAACGGTCCCAGAGTCCCTAAACCCTAACCCTTGAACCCGAACCCTCAGACTCTGATCCATAAGCCCCAACAACCCCCAAACCCGCACCACTAAACCCTAAACCTGAGCTCCAAAGCCCTCTGATCCAGGTCAATGGCTCGGAACATCATGCCTCCGCTGCGAGGTCCCTGCTTGCAAACCGTGGAGACTCTTGTGGTTGTGGGGACTTCCACGATTCGAATAATTTGCTGAGGCTCAGTGAGATTTTATGGGGTTCTAAAGGGTTTTGAAATGTTAGATACCCATTGAAGCGGGCTTGTTTCGGATTTCAACAAGACCCAAAAACCTAACCCACCGACTCCAGAAGTTGGTGACTTGGGATTTCCTAAACCCTAAGCCTAAACCCAAGCAACAAGATGATAAAGCAGTTAGGATTTCGTCTTGAGTTGGGCCCTTATCAACCCCAAGCTCTGAAGCCCAAATCGTACGATGACAGACTTGCGACCGCCCTCTTGCCAAGACTGGGGCAGGTTTAAACACATAAGGGAGTTTCCGAAAATAGGGGACCCTAATATAGTACCCTAAATCGTATGATCCTTACTGCAAGGACCCCAAAATACGGTAGCCCGAATTTCGGAAACTCCCACATAAATCCGGATCCCTTACTGGGCAGGTCCTCCGCAGTCTCTGGCGCAAAGACCCGGAGCCAGGCTTGGTTTATGTGCACCCTCAGTAATTAGAATAGGGCTCCTTTGACGGGTTCTTGCTTGGGGTCTCATAAGGGTTCTAGAATTGTTACAGGGTCCCATAAGTTCATCACAGCAGATGTTTATATATCATATACGGACTATACCGGGATTGTATTATATTGCTTCTTGTGAGCCTCATTTGAAAGCTTTCCGGAGAGCCTCGTGCCCCTTAATCATGAAGCCAAGGTTCAACCTGCGCATCAAGGAATTCCTCTATATGGTTCAGGGTACATTCGTCAATGAAGGGGTGCAGGGCCGGGCTCTCTGAGCTTGCACCTGCTAGGATGCCCAGTAGTTCCCTTATTCCTTTTTTGTAGTCCTAGGTTCCTTATAAAGTTACCCAATACCAAAAAGAGAGGCCTTTTATTCTGAGGTTACTGGGTATCCTAGCCTGGCATACCCAGGCACAGGTCGCTTCTGCGTGGTTTTGTGAGGTCCAGGGTTCGTGCATCCTTCGTGGCCTGGTAATTCCAGTGTACGTGGGAGTTTCTCAAAATTAGGGGTACCGTATTTTGGGGGCCTTATAATCAGGATCCTACTATTTGGGGTACCATACTAGGGTGCCCTATTTTCGAAAATTTCCAAGTGGTCTGCAGTACAAGGTTTGCAACATCCGCATAGGCCCTTATCAACCTTGAGCCATAGGGCTATGGATGGTGATTCCCTAGCACAGCTTCGGTTAAGCCTGAAAGACTCACGAGTTGCGCCCCTTAAAGGGATCTATATAGGGTTCCTTAAAGGGATCTATTTAGGGTTCCTTAAAGGGATCTATATAGGGTTCCCTAAAGGGATCTATATAGCCTCCAATGAGCCCGACATTCTAGACGAAGACCGAGCATTGCCGGTGCAAAAGGGTGCCTCATAGGCCACGATGCCATGGAAGGCACAGATCTTGCCACGCAGCATTTCTCGGTCGACGGCGGCGATGCCGTTTCCCAACCCTCACACTAGATCCTCAAAGCCGAGATTTCTGTCATGACAAGTACTGTAGGCCTGCTGAGCTTTCGGGCTGCGCAAGTGGTGTGTGCGTGTGTGTGAGTGGTTGCATGTGCGAGCGAGTGCCTGGGCAAGCGAAAGTTTGACGCCGTGGTGTTGCAGCTCGGGCTCGGGTTGTAACCGGATAGCACGACAAAGGCTGGACGTTTGTTTCGATATCGGTGGGATTTTGCCGCTTCTTCTTGGGACGCTGAGGAGTTTGAAGCACTCAGAACATGCAGAGGCAGCCCAGAAAAATGAAAAGCTGAAACAAAACGAGCCATTGGAACCAAGTGCTGTCGTCAGGATGGCGCATGTGCGGCTGCAGTTGTCCCGCTGCTGCAGTGGAACGAAGAATTTGCTGGCGCTTGACCCGCTTCATCCTCTGTCATTCGGTTGCCCGGGGCACATAGCATCGTCAAGAAGGCACGCCTCAGTCCAGAAACGCGGGCCCAGGAAACACCCGAAATGTCTAAGTGGCAAGGGCACCCGGTGCTGGGCAGGAGGAGCAGCAAGGGGCAAAGCCTGCTTTTGGTCCAGACCTGGTTTCATTTCGATCCGGAAAGCAGTTTTGCAAAACAGATGCTGAGTCTGGGTTCATCCGTCACCCCTGCGCCCAGACAGGCCCTTCAACCCAAACTAAAACGAAGGCACAATGATGCTGATGATTCTGGGTCTAACCTGCCACAAGAGTCTGCAAATCCCAAGCCTTTGGAGCCACCACAAGCACCCAGCTTGAAGCTTCTAGAGCGTTGCCTGAAGGCTCGGTGGAAGACCTTTTTGCTTCCGTGCGAACACGGACGGCGGCGGTTTTTGTGGTGGAGGGCGAGGGGCCGGAGTCTCGGGTATCTTTCGTGTTTCGAGCTATGAGGCAGGTAAGGCTTGTTGGTAAAGCTTGATCGGGGTAACGAGCATATGGTACAACAAGCCCAGAACAAGAAAGCTCGAAGGGGTCATGAGGGTTTTGTAGGGCTTGTAACGGGCGTCACACAAGGGCGATTGAAGCCCCTACTTGTTCTGGTTCGGATAAGGTTTTGAACATGGGCCTTCTTCTTTCGACATGACAGCCGGAGGGGAAGATGTCTTCGGAGCTTAGGCTTTGGTTGTGTTTTAGGTTTTGGGGTTCAGTCTCCCGGATGCAGGATTTTGGAGGGTTCCTGGTTTGGGTAATTGAATGTTATAGGCTCCATCATTTAAACTCTGAACACCATAAGCCTCTATCAACACCACAGGATCCCTCCGCCCCAAAGGCCTGTAGCTAAGAATCCGTATCAACTCCAGAGTGTCACGAGTCACCCTTCCTTCACTCTTATGTGAAACTTATGTGGGTAGTTGTCAAAATTATGGTCCCTTTTTGGGTCCATATTATCGTACGGCACCTAATATTTAGGGTACCCAAATATCTAGGGTACCCAAAAAGGTACCCTAATTTTGACAACTACCCATGTGGAGCCATAGACAGCCCAGCAAAACAAGCCGTGTCCTGATCATCCTGATGGTTGTAGTATGATTGTCATGACGGTGGTAGTGATGAAGTTGAAGGTGGAAGCTGAAGTCACACGGGTTTTCATGATTGTCAGTCTGTTTCGTCACGTTATCACCATTGCCAGATGTATTTCCATAACCGTGACACTTTTCATGGTAACTATTATGTTCTTGTGTCATTATTGTCGGCGTTTGAGGTCGCTTCCGGCTCTGGAAGATCTTCAGCCAAAGGCTGATGGAGATCAGAAATTGGGTGGCTTATGGTGTCTTGCAAGGTGTTTTGCTTCAGGGCTTGGTGTTGAGGGTTTCGTCGGCTTTTTAGGCTTGGCAGCGAAGTCCAGAAATCCCTTCCATTGAGCTTCGCATATCGGAATTTTGGGCTTCGGGTTTAGTGTTCATGGCTTACGTGATTTGCTAGAACTTCCTCTCACAAGCTCTCTTGCAGCAGGTCTCGCAACAATCTGCACTGCATCCTTCCAGAACTTTTCGTGCGAAGGGCGGATTAAGTCCTCAGGCGAAACAGAGCCTAAACCCCAAACCCTATAAAGGGAACTCCAGAAAGTTGGAATATGGTTTCATGGTAGGATACCTTCTAATTTACCATAAAGGGTTTAGGATAATCATATTCCAACTTTCTGGCTTTTACTGTAACCTATAAGCCCCAAGCCCCCCCAACTCTGCCTTCTGCTAGACAGCATCGAATCCAAGCACTCTGAGGCTCCGGCGCGAAGCCCCCCAAGCCCACATTGCCTGAAAAGTCTGAATTCCCTCTTTGGAGCATCGGAGTCTACTTGCAGACCAAGCGAGTTAGTAGCACTTAGTAAGAGGGTTCTAGGCAGGTTTCGCTATGTCTACCATTGTCTACCTATAGGCCTGTTAAGCCCGTTAAGGTACTTGTAAAGCTACGTACGAAGTCCCGTCACCTTCAGAAAGAACCCTTGAAAGCAACACTTTTATGGAGCCCCTCTAACCCGCTGCAGGATCTGGTTTTCGTCGGAAGCGCCTTTCTCTGCGGCATCTCGGGCAAGAATGGAGTGTTTTGCCCTAGAAACTATTTTCGGTTGCGACCGACGCAAAGCCACAAGGTGTAAGACAAAGAGACACCGAACGTTTTGCCCCAAACCCTCAACCCTGAACCTAGAGCTTTACGGGGGGGGATCTCAGGAATTGATCGGAGGTTTTCTGAAATGGGTGATAAGAAGCTTTTCTGGGAGTTTGAACGTTGGCCTGCTGTTGCTCAGTCCTTACCCCAAGAGAACATAATATGTACTTCGGATCTATACTCAACTCAAGTCCCGCAACGTCTAAGTCGCTTAACTTCGGACCCTGCAGCAACGAACCCCATTTTCACTGCAAGGCCGATTCCTCGGATATGGGAGCCACTGGATTTTCGAAATTAGGCTGCTGCAGATGTGGCGTTCAAGCCAGGAACAGAAAGCCGGCAAGCCCTGAACCAGCAAGGTTAAACCGAAAATCCTCAAACCACTACCGCTGGAGTTCAGAATCGTAGGACATCGGGATAATGCAAGGCTTTGGTGCGCAACATAGGGTTTCGGTTGGGTTTGACACCCTAAGCCCTAAACCTTCAAACCCTAAACCCTACAACCCTAAACCCTAAATCGCGAAACCCAAACCCTCAAAACCCCAAATCCTGAGCCCTTCAACCCTAAGCCGGGTGAAAAGGCTTTCGGAGGTTTCAGCATCGAAGGCGGAGGTTAGGGCTGGATTTCGAAAGGTTCCGGGCTGAAGGGGTTTGGGGTGTCGGGCTTAAGCTCGTTTTTTCATCGGTGCAATGGACTTTTGGTTCAGGGATTTGGGGTTCAGGGTTTTGGGTTTCTCCGAAACCTAAACCACAAACTAAACCCGGAGCCGTAAACGTAAACCATGAACCGCTTGGGGCCCATGTTTCGTTTGACACCAAGGGGAGAGCTCCCTGGCAACCTGCGCACATCTCTTCGATGGGAGGTGGCCTGCGGTGAGGCCGCAATGTGCACTTAGGGTTCTTGATTTGGGGCTTTAGGGTTTAAATGGTTCAGGTTAAAGTTCAAGGTTTAAGACATTGTTTTGGCTTTTGGGGTTGCTGCTTTAGGTTTCGGAGCCCTAAATTAGGGTTCAGAGTTTGGGATCTGGGTTTTTGGGTTTGATGCTCCTGAGTCTTCGGGTGGACCGAAACACTTAAAGCCCGGACCTTAGACCGCAAGGCCGCAGAGCCCTGCAGGCTTAGGGCCCAGACACTGCAAATACAGCGAACACTTGACCTGGAGCCCGACAGAGTGCAGGAGCCTAGAGCAGGATCTTGGGGTATGCATGCTATAGCCGTACACTAGATCTGAATATCATGTGAGCAGCACCAAGGTGTCGGACATGTGCTACTACAGTGGAGAGCACTGACAGACGCAACAGCAGAAGCACAAGCGCGATGGGATCCTTATTTCACGACGACAGTCCAGACCTACTCAAGCAAGAATCCTGGAGACCCTAAGCCCTCATTCCAATCGGGCAAAGACAAGGCTTTGGAAAAGACATTTCTTTCTAGAGGAAGACACTTGGCCCTGAACCCTGGCCCTGAACCCTAAACACAGAATTCAGAAGCATTTTCGCCCAGCGTCTTCTGCCGCGCCATGCGTGGCTTCTTCGGGCTGCTGGGCCTTTGCATCCTTGAGCTTGCGCTGAGCGCAGGTGAGTTGGGGGTCGATATGATTCAACCTTACGGATCTATCGTCGTATGTGGGTATCGTGTATGTTATTGCAAGAATATGCCTTATTTGCCCTGAACACAAATTAAGCCGTATCCGGAGGGAATACAGTCTTCTACTCGGTCGATGCAACCTTAGAATCCCTAGTTGGTCTTGTATGCATCCCATCGTATAAGCAGATGAGCCCTAAACCCTACAAACCCAGGGAGTTCTGGGCAAGGGAAAGTGGCAGTCACCGGAACGCGGCGACCCAGCAAGTGTCCTGAGTCCCAAAGCATCGCCGCTGAAAGGAACATGGGAACAAGGTTTCCCTTTCTTAAGAGGAATTCCTCTTAGGTCGTTGCATGGAAGCAAAGGGCTTGTTTCAACAGCCCTTTGCAAAGGAGGGGAAGTTGGCCAAGAATGGGACCCGAGCTACGGGTAATTTGGGGGACAGGCATGCATTGTTCATGACCTTCAAGTTTCTGTGTTCAGACTGTGGTTTGCGTGGCTCCTGTTCCCAGAGCGTAAGATATACAATCCGAGTTGACCAGTATTGGGCTCATCAAGCCAAAGTCAAGAGCAGTGCAGCTCTAGGTGGAGCTGTTGGCGAGCAACATGTTTAGACTTTTCCCCATGGCCGTCAGTGGTTAATACAACTCAACCCAGAGCTTTTCCTAATGCTTTGGGGTCAGGAGTTTTGATTATGGGCTCAGCGAGCTAGGTGTGGTTTTGGGCTTTACGAGGTTGTTGCAGGGTAGTCCAGGTGCGCGATCCAGAACCGTCAGAAGATACATGCACGAAACACGTTGTGGAAGATAGATCACGGTTCTAGATCAAGATAGAGTCAGGATCCTTTGTTTGGTGGCGTAGGGGTGGGGTACTTGTGACCCTGAATGTCGTCTAAGCCCTCAAACTCCCAAGCCTTAGACCCTTATATAACCCCGAAGCCCCAAACCCAAAACCTCGAAGCCTCAAACCATAGATTCCCATACCCCAAACCGTAAACCCTGATCACTGAACAAGGCATCGATAACTCCTGCATAGAGCCGGCGCCTGACTTCGGACTCCGCGTGCAGGCGATCGCGGCAGTTCTTTTTTTGGGGCGCTTATGTCGTAAGGCCGTAAGGCCCAAGCCTCCAAAGCACTAGACAACCCAAACGGACTTAAACCCTAAAGCTAAAATTAAAACGCATAGCGACCTCAACCCGAAAGCCTCAACCAAAAGCCCCAAACCTTGCAGCCCAGAGCCCTAGAGCCCTAGTAGACCCTGATTAAAGAGGTGAAGTGTTGGTTCCAGTGATTCGGGATCAGCCGGTTTGCCGCGCCAGTGGCCCTCCGGATGTTCGACCCCGAAGCTCTGCGCCCCAGACATCCCTAAACCCGCAAACCCCAAAGCAAAAACCTCACCCCTAAAACCGCAACCCGAAGGCTTAAATAAACCCCTAAAAGCCCTGAAGCCCTATCCCTGACAACCCTAAACCCTAAACCTGGGCTTCCCAGGAGGCCATCATCGGTACTTTGCTGGCAGATAGCTTCACGTGGCACTTCCAAGGCCTGCCTGAGAGGTGCTTTCAGGGTTCTCTAATAAGGGTTGGTTCAGGGTTCCATAAAGAAAGGTTTAGAGTTTAGGGTCTATGAGCTTGGGGACCCCAATGTTGTTTTCAGGAATATTCCTATCTAAATGTGATTTTATACATATATATATATACATATATATATATATACATACATATATATATATATACATAAATATGTATATATATATATATATATATATATATATTCATTCCAGTCCATACATACATAGACATGTATGTGTATGTTTCGCTGGCCCCACTCTTCAATCCTGGAGTGCCCCCGCCGACTTTCCGAAGCTCATGCGATTGAGCTCGCGGATCCTTCCTGCAGCTGACGGATACCGCCAAACTGGTAATGTCGCTTTGCTACTTGGACGGGGTCAAACATTGCGAACCACACAAGTCTGAGGTGAAAAGTCTCAGGCAAAAAACACAGACTAGTTTTTTCTGGTGGAAGCGGGGGGAATATCAAATTTGACTGCAAGCAACATGAGCATTTTACTAGTATTATTAGCAGTGATCCCGTTCCCTATTCTGGTATTCTTGCTTTAGTTTTCCTTGGAGCTTGCTTCCTCCCAGGGCCGTAAAGCCCTAAGCCAAGACCGGCAGGGGTTCCCAAACCTAATACGCCGGCCAAAGCCTACTAAACCAACTAGGCCCTAACCCTCAATTCTATGCTCTAAACCCCTGGACCTTGAAATCGTAAACCCACGAAGTTGCTGACAGGTGAGCCGCCTTCCCTCACGGAGTTGGTATCATCCCTTGCAGAGGAAGAGGCGGAAACTCGTAGACTGCATTGGGCTTGGGGTTCAATATAGAGACCTTGATAATGATAGTGAGTAACTTACCTTGGGTTAGTAGGGAATGGAGGAATGGGGTACAATTATAATACAACTACTATTACTACCATTTCCATTCCCTACTAACCAAAGGTAAGGTATGAGAAAGAAGAATACAACTGGCAATACTCACAATGATACTTAAGAACATCAATCATAGAGGCGTGTGCTAAGGTCCCTACGGAACCCGCAACCCCGAACACTGGAGTAGGGTTTGGGGTGTGGGGACCCTTTGAAGTCTTAGCCTTCTGGCCCAAGCAGACGTTTGGAGAAGTTGTCAGGGTTTTGGCTTTAGGGTTGTCATGCCTTCCGACCTTCTGTTTTCGGCAGCTTGCTGCACACCGGTCTGAAAGCCACAGCAGCATAATCTTACGGCCCTTACTCTAGCCTTGTGGCCATTTGCTTAGGAGCATTCACAGGCGCTTGCTTGCAGATCGTTGCCGTGCGCCATGTACAAAGGCAAAGGCAAAGGCAAAGGAAAGGTCCGGGACGAGTTCCTGGACTACTGCGTTTCGAGGGTCGATCCCGAAGACAAAGGAAGCTTGCGCCAAAGCTTGCTTCCGCTGTCCCGGCTGCTAGCAACGAGGCTGAGATACAAGGACGGGTTTTTGAGAAAGATGGGCATCGAAATGGACCAGGATGGGTGGACTGACCTTAGCCAGATCTTGTCGTTGGAGGAGTTCGCGCGATGGAACACCAGGGATGTGAAGGAAGTTGTCCAGGAGAGCTATTCCAAAGACAAGCCACGGTTCCAGATTTCGGACCGAGGCAACCGACTCTTCATCCGCGCCTTCCACAAGCGCCCCGGTGCAGAACCCGAGTGGCTGCGCAAAGACCGCTTTCGTCAGCGAACTCCCAGCCCAGGACCGCCGGAGCTTCCTCCTGATCCCTTTGAGGGCAGCGATGATGGCATAGGCATCCGACGGAACAAGATGGCAACTCCGGAATTCTTCGATTTGAGCCGAGAGCACTCTGCCGACGAGGACATGGATGCAGAGGCAGAGACGACTTCGCCACACGACGCCGTGCTCTCCTCCCTGGGCGACGAGTGGTTCAGAATCTCTTTGGAGGGCTCCATCTATGCTTGGATCTGCCGCAGAGAGGATGGTTCTGAGGATGGTTTCGCTGAGCTTAGCCCGGCCCCTTGGGTTCATGTAGGCGCTGGCGAAGTCGATGAGAGACCCTGCTGGATCAATGAGGACACCCAGGAGTTTTTCTTTGTTGAGGCGGCGGCGCAGTGAGAGTGATGCTGAGGGTCGAGTGCAGGTGGTGTATGTCCTTCTCGACAGCTGCTGCTGTCCCGTGCTGGTAACTGGTGAAGGGTTGAAACTCGAACGTTGCGTGTAGGCGCTAGGGCCTAAGCCCTATTGCCCTATTACTCCAAATGCCAGCCCTTACATAAACCGGGCCGTTTATTTTTGTGGTCCGTAGACCGTATTTGCCCTTGCTTGAGCATTACGTTCTTAGGCTTCTTACCATAAGCCCTCAGGCCTTAAACCTAAACCATAGGCCTTCAGCGATTGCAAGCACGGAAAGAGGGCCGAGTTGCCAACATCCTGTTTTCGATTTCGCCCACCCCTGCATCTGATTCCTCGTAGATACGGTCTGGTGAGGCCAGAGAGCCCACAAGCGGCTGTGCATCGGGGTCCCTGAGGTAGTCTTCTAAGGTACTTGCGGTCGGGTCGATCGGTTGACTGCTGTTCGGCGATGGGACCAGTAGGACTCCGACCTGCTAGCAGTTACGGATGCTGCATGCTGGGAAGCCGGAACAAAATTGCCCATGCCAATGCGACAAATTGCGACGTGATGTGTAGCCATTTGCAACTCCTGAACCTCGTCAGCTCAACGAAAACCTAAACCCAAGTACTGCGCACGTCCTAGAATGCCAAGCCCCTTCAGTAAACCCCAGACATCCCCAGACCCTTAACCCTTACAAGCCCCAGCAGCCGTAGCCCTAAAACCTAGAGCCGTCAACACAACCCTAAACCCCAAACCCTGAACCCTGAAGCCCTAAGCCCTAAACCTTGCAGGGAAGTCAGGTGTAGCGCTGTAGCCCTAAACCCTGCAGGGAATCAGGTAGAGACTCCTAGTAGATAAACAACGAACCCTGAGCCCTGAACCCTGAGCCCTCGGCCCGGCAAGGCTCACAGTTGCCATGGTCTGGAGCTACTCCAGGCGCTTGGGGCCGAGCATCACAATCATAATCTTAAGTCAAGTGTGATCACACTCACGGGCACGGGCAACATCACAATCATGATCACAATCTTAATCATACAGGCTGTTTTTGTGTTGCATGCGTTGCCGTGGGGCTGGGTCACACCGGCGAAAGCTTCAAGCCATCTTCGCAAGCAGCTTCAAATTGCTGGCAGATCTCAGGAATTCATAGACCCGCACGAGCTAAGAGATTTAGGGCTTTAGAATGCTTTAGAGCTGGGCTTGCCCCTCCAGAGGGTCTCTGGGTCTAGAGGGTGTGGAGGACGTTGGATCTGACTGGCTTGGAAGTTTGACAGTCCTTCTGATCATGGCACTCGAAGAAGACATACATGTGAGCTCCCTTCTTCCACATGGGTGTAGGGCATCGGGTAACCTGGGTCTTTGGCAGAAAGCTTAAGTCTGGTTGATCTCCTGCCGATGTGCCTTTCGATCAGTGTATACGTTATTGTTGCCTAAATAACTACAGTAGGGTTCCCGGGTTTGAGGGTGCCATAAAATACACTCAGGAATCCAGGGAGTGATGTTGGTACGTGTTTTAGGCCTTGATATGGGTGGCTGTCAAAATTACGGTCCCTTTTTGGATCCCTATTATAATACGGCACCTATTATTTAGGGTTCCCCAAAAGGGACCGTAATTTTGACAACTACCCATGTGGAGCCATATACTACTACCATATAACCACTATATAACCAGTATATACCTACTATTACTCGGCCTTTTGTATGGGCCTGCAGATGAACTGCCTTGACAAGGCCAGGCCTTGAGGATCAAGCGGCCGATCGGGAGACTTACCTTTGGTTAGTAGGGAATGGAAGAATGGTAGTTATAGCAGTTATATTATGGTGGTAATATGATAGTATTATGGTAGTTATATGGTGGTAATATGATCGTAATATGGTAGTAACATGGTAGTAGTATGGTAGTAATGGCAGTTATATTATGGTAGTAATATGCTAGTAATAGTATGGTAGTAGTATGGTAGTAATAGTAGTTCTAATTGTACCCCATTCCTCCATTCCCTACTAAGCAAAGGTAAGCAGAAAACCGCCGGATGCCAGGCTCTGCGGACCCTCTCTTTGCAGGGATTCGAGTTTCAGCATTTCTCCAGGACCTGGAGGACCGGGGAGCATGCAAGGCGGATGCTTGAACTGCGGTCTCTTTCAGAAACAGGTGATGTCTACTGAGATGGAGGAAAGCCAGAAACTGAGTGACCCCAATGTCGCATGGGTATCCCCTAACAAGGCTTCAGATGTGTTCTAATCTGCCAGCACCAGCGCGTACATACTCCGTACACCCATCTTGAGTTCCTAGGTCCTAGGTGGTCCCGTAGTTTTCAAGGTCGGAACCCTAGGGCAAGCGGTCTGAGCCATGGACATGAAATTCGAGGTAGCCTGAAGCCTTCAACGCTACCCTAAACCCTAAACCCTGAACCCGAAACCCTAAACCTCTAAAAGCCTTAACCCCTACAGCCTTAAGCCTTTAAACCCGGAGCCTTTCGATTTCGTCCTGAGCGCTATGAGCCTGATGTGCAGGTTTAGGAAAAGCCTTCGTGTCCTGCCTTGCAGGACTTGGGCGGAGTTCGCCCACGAGTCTGAGCCGGATCGAGGCACTCGGTGTCTACTATAGGGGCCGTAATAATTAGTGTAGGATTTCGGTGTAGATTATACCATACTTGTGATAAGGACCCCCCAGAACCTTATTCTAAGTATTAAGGCCCCTGTGTCAGCGGTCTGGGGTTTATGGCTTAGGGTTTGGGATTCAAGGTTTCGGGCTCGGGGTCTAGGGCTCACAGGGGTTTGGGTTCATGGGGTTTGGGGGGCTGCGGTTCAGGGTTTAGGGCTCGGAGGGTTTAGGGTTTAGAGGGTTTGGGGTTCAGGGTTGAGTTTAGGGTTAATGGTCTAGGGCTCACAGCGTTCGGGGTTTAGGGTTTTGGGTTTTTGGGCTTCGGGTTTAGGGTTCAGGGTTTTAGGGTTCGATTCTCTGTAGCAATTTTGCGAAAATCAGTCTGCATGGACAGATCTACATCTTCAGATGTGCACACATGTTCCATGTACTGCCATCTAATGTGGCCGCTGAAACTTGAAACAGCAAAGCGAACCGCCCTAAGCCCTCAGCTCCATTGAGTTCGCAATTGAAAATGTGGTGGTGATGGTGGTGCTGGTGGTGGGAGCCGCCGTTATCGTGGTGCTCCTCCTGCTTCGGTATACTCCCGCTCGTACCACGATGACGACTACGACTTGTGTTAGCTACTGCTATTCTTCATGATTACACATCCTACTACCACTACTTGCTGCCGTCAGTGGCTGTGATCCACATCGAACCGCAGCAACAGCGGGAGCTCACCCTCACAGAACCCCTCAGAACCCATGCAGAAGCCATACAGGAAACTCCTCAACCTAAGCCCTGAAACCCCTAAACCCCTAAAACCCCTAAAACCCCTAAACCCCTAAAACCCCCCAACCCCCCTAAACCCTAAAACCCCTAAAAAGAAGATGCCTCTTCGCCAGGTTGGGGTCCCGGTGTCCGAGAGGCCCTGAGAAATCTCCAGAAGGGCGCGACGCCCGAGGCTCGAAGCTTCGCTGCTTCACTTCCTTTTGGGCTTCCGTTAGGGGTTCGTGCTCCTCAAGCCTCGCGGTTTGGTCACGTGCGAGCATCCCGAACCAAGTTAAACCAGTAATGAAGTGCAAAAGGTCAGCCAGCGCCGCTCACAGCCCAAAATTCTGACCCCGAAAACTCCCGAGAACCGAAAACACCAAAACAATCATAAACCCTAAACCCGAAAACCCCGAAATCCCGAGCCATGTGAAGGCCTCTGCGGGTCATTACGTTGACCTCGAGGCTGCAGCACGCTTGCCGGCTCGGGAGCCCAGCAAAGGGTTGGAGCTCTACAGTAAGCTCCAAAAATTTGGTAACCGGATTAAGGACAACTAGTGCTGGGATTCCCGATACATTACTATTGGGTTTCCAACTTTTCGGGCTTCTGGCATAGGTTCCCCACCCAGTAATACCCCTATGCCTTTTTTCTTTCTGGGTTCCGTATGAAGACCAAGTAGTAAGAAAGAGGTTGCCCTTATTTCGGGGCTACTGAGGAACCTAATGATTTAGTGTTTCGAGTTTGAAGCACATGCTTTAGGTTGTTTTGCAGAGTTTGGGAGTTTCATGGGTTCTGGGGGGTTTGGGGTGTTAGTGTTTTGGTTGGTTCCAGCGGTATTCGGGTTCTACGTGAGTCAAGATCTCAATCGCCACCATTGATTCCCGAGTATCAGGACAACGTGACGGGCTTTTGGTGCAACCCAATCTTCCCAACTTACCCGCAAAATAGAAGCCTGAACGACTTACTGGTGATGTCTTGGGGCTCCTTGTTATACTACTATAAAATATCCCGAATCATTATTCGAACTATTCAGTACTATAAGACATCCCGAACACCTGTTCGAATTATTCAGGCCCTGCTGCTGCTAGCAGAGCACGTGGACGAGAATGGCCTCATCATTGCATCCCAGGACCATCTTTGTTTGATTTCTGCGCGAACCAAAGCCAAACTAAGCTTAAATCCAGGGGGTGGTAAGGCGAAGTGTCTTTTCTACCTCCCTTTTGCTCCAAGCTTCTGCTGTTTAGGGTTTAGGGTTTAGGGCACCCCTCTCACTCCCAACTCTCCCCCCAGACCCTTCTGGATATCGCGCTTCAACACCAAGATCCCGAAGCGCCAAGCCCATCCCAAGCCAAAGCCCCCAAAATCCCCAAAAAGCCCAAAACCCGAGACCTCAGCAACAAAAAGCGCGACGCAACAGGAGATGCAGCGGGTCACCCACGAGAACCCCAAAGCGACTGCTCTTACATGTGGGCTGTTCTGTATGGCGGTCGGTTACTTCGAGGATTTTCTGTGGTTATAGAGTGACGATCAATGTTGTTTGGGGCATCGACCGGGGGTTCGGCTGTAGGCTGTGCCTTTGAAGTTGTAGAGACTGTGGTTCGGGATTTCGGTACTGGTGCAGACTAGGCGACCCCCCGAATCCCGAAAGCTAAGCACACGCAGGGAGTTGCAAGGTCGGAGCTGACTCGGGAATAATGATCCGTTTTGCACTCTTTCCAATGCCAAGCAGGTCTTGCAAAGCCTCCCCAGCCAACCGACCCAAAGCCAACCGACCTAAACCCTAAACCCTAAACCCCAAAAGCCCTGAACCAGAGGACTGACCCTCTGCCCCTTGCCGTTTTGTCCGGAGGTCTTGCAAGCGGGGGAGTTTCTCCTGCGGGTGGCGCTGGAACTACTTCGCCCTCGGGCGGCAAGGGGCAATAGCAGGGTCTTCGGGACCAGGGTTCCTAGGTCCTCACGTGAACCCAAAGCCCCGAACCCTACAAGCCCCGGGCCCGAACTCCTAAACCCCGAACCCTTTAACGCCCTAAACCCTAACCCAATGAAATCTTAAATAAGCCCTACAGTAGAAGCCAGAAAGTTGGAACATCATTATCCTCATTCCGTAAAGACAAGGTAGAGGGAATCCTAGCACTAATCATCCTAAACTCATGTTCCAACTTTCTGGGGTTCACTATAAGCCCAGGCGCCCCCCATCGGTTTTGTGCCGGCTCCCCACGCCGGGCGGCGATGGCTGGCGCACTGCGCGCTGCGGCCGTGGGCGATCACTTCGGAGCTTTGGAAGCTTCGGCAAAAGTTTGGGGGAACCTGCGGGTTAGTTTAAGGGCTCCTGTCGGGGATCCTTTACAGGGCACCGGCTCTTTCAGGGGCTCCTTCAAGGGCCTTGAATGCTTTAAGGGTTCCCTCAAAGGTCTGTAGAAGCGGGTGCTACAAGTTCGGGCTCCGGCTCTAATGATCAACTGTCCTGAGTTTTCGAGAACACAGCAGACAGAATCATGTGGACTTCGGGTGTCCGGCTGCAGGAGTGGTCGTTAGTTTCTACCTTTGTCATGACAGTCGTGACCACCTTCTTTTGCATTTCTATTTGCACCATGTTTAGCATCGCTATCCTTGCTCACTCAACCCGACTTCTTGCGAATTGCCAGATGGAAAAGCCAAGAAGAGCTCCCCTTCCCAACCCCAAACTCTACAGGCCTCTAACCTAAACCCTAAGCAACTAAACTTTTAAACCCCGCGAGCCCTTTACGCCCTAAAGCCCCATATTAAGTCAGTGCCATCCTAAACTTCATAATGTAAGCCCTCAGCACTAGGCCGAAGAGTTTTCCGTGATCCCAGGTCGACGAGGCCACCTTCGAGCTCTTGCGGCCTTGGGCCTTCCCGGTGGTTTTAGGCTTAACTTTTTGTTTCTTCCGGTTTTGGGGGATGAGAGGATTAGGGTTTAGGGATGAGGCATCAGGGTTCTTGGAGTTTGCTGGTTGACCATAGGCCTGGAGCCCTACTGGCAAAACATTCACTTCCCAACCCTCAAAGCCTAACACCCTGAACCCTCGACCCCCAAGCCCTAGCCCTAAACTTCTACACCCTGAACACCCCTTGCAGGTGCTGTCCGAGGCGCAAAGCCGTGCTGCGGTCATTGCTGCCGGTGGGCTCTCGGGGAAATTGGCTGAGATCCACTCGGATGAGCAGGTGGGGAGAGGGGTCCTTGAAACAGCAAACCCTACAACCCTAAAAAGATAAGGGTTTAGGTTTACTCCAAAGGATCCCTCGAGATTCTACATGGGTTCCTTTCAGGGAGCTGTAGCGGGGTGGTGGTGGTGTGCTGCTGCGGCTGCTCATTATGCTGATGATGCTGCAGGTGACGTGATGAGGGCGCTGGCTGTGAAGGTTAAACCTGCAAAGGAAACACTCGAAAAAGCTAGTCTAGCATAGGGTTTAGGGTTTACCTGAAGCAGTTGCACGGCTCCAACTGCACGAGAGCAATGTCTCCCGCAATTAAGAGCGGTCGTCAGACCAATCAGGGGTTACTGTAAGGGCTCAGTATAGGGGCCTTACTAGCTACCTGTACTGTTTTGGGGGTTCCTTATGATAAATATAGTATAATAGGCGCACCAAAACCCTATTCTAATCATTAAGGCATCTATAGTCATACTGAATGCATGTTGGTGTGGCTACATGGCTAGACCGCTCTTTGTACTGGTCGGGATGGTTGGTTCCAAGTCTCTGCGTTGCATTATCTCCAGGTAAACCGCCGTCGCTGTTGTACGCCACACTGTCTTGCATCATGCTTCAAGTGCGGTCGCGCGCCGTCACTGTTGTAAACCAAACTTCGTTGCATCATGTTTCCAGTGCAGTCGCGCGGCACATGACTGCGAAAAACCAGACCCGACCACGGTGTAATGCACAGTCAAGAAGAGTAATCCTGATGACTGCACTTGTCGTGCTTCTTCGCGTCACCAGACGTACAAGGAGTGCCATGCAGGCTACTACGTAGGCCGATTTACCATTGCAGTTTCTGGTCATGCTGTTGCTGGAGCTGGTGCAGGAGGTCGTGTTTGACCCTACTCGTTGTTCGTCCTTGCTTGCTTGCGGTCTCCAATGCCTTTTTGCAGCCGTTTGTTAGCTGTCACGTTGTTACCGTGTCTGCGTTCGTGGTGTCGCTGACGGTGCAGTTTCCGCCGTTGTAATCGGTGAATCTTGAACCTCCGCGACTTGACACCTGATGCAAACGGCCAGACACACATTCAGGTATGTATGGATGACTGTACTACCCATTCTAATGATGAAGGCTCCCCATCCTAGGTGCTGGGCCGACTAACCTCTAGTGGCGAGTCGCCTGGCGACGAGGCCTTCGGGTTAGGGTTGAGCAAGAGGGGCTACCATAAGGGGTCCCATGATGTTTGAGGCTCGTTTAGGGGCTCAGCGGTTGGGGTTCCTTCGGCCGGTTGCTATGGCGGGTTCCTTCAATCTACTTAAACTACTGTAGAGTTGTTGAGGGTCAAGGGCCCCGAGCAGAGGTTTATTGCTGTCGGGTTGAGGGTGTAGGCTGGTCTTACATTCAGGCGTGGATGTGAAAAGGCATTTGGGGATTGAATTGACATCACACACAGGCTGCCAGAGTACTGTTTTGGCTTTGTGGCTTTGTGCTGTCATTGACGGTGAACCAGTCGGACTTGCTGTGGACCTCTTTTGCAGTGCTTTCGTTTGCCGCTGCCGCAGTCTCAATATAGCTGTGGTAGTCCAAGCTTGAAAACTGGCTGTGAGTGAAGCTTTCTGTCTTGTGGAAGCAGTTCGAAGCATGAAGACTTTGGCTTGTCGATTGGAGTAGAAATCCGAAGCAGAAGAGTGCACGCAAGTTCCATCAAGAGGTCCGGTGTCTGCTGCCATACGCCGCCCGGGATCGTGGTCGAAGGTATTCGTTAGAGCTTGCAGTAGGCCCTTCTGGACAGTTGAAACTGAGAGCTCTGTCTGCAGCTTTGCTCTCACCGACCCCTCTGCGCTCTGCGGAGCTCCTTTGAAAGGCTGGTCATGGGTGCTGGTATGACTACACTGCCGTCAAGCAATGGGCTGATGGATCTTAACTGGAAGAACGTTTACCATGCGGCCAAGACGTCTTCCACCATAGAAGTCTTACGGTTGCTGCAAGACCTAGCGAGCCAGCACAAAATGAGCGCCTTAGTCAATGCAGGGCTGGTGCCACTGGAAGGTGCATTCATTGATATCGATCCGCAAGTCTGGGTGCAGCACGTGTCAAACGCCGTCGCCATGATCGAAGCTGAAGACAGACACCCTCGCTCAGATGCGTGGCAGTTTATATCGGAGCTGTTGCACCTCTCGCTGCGGCGGTATGCCAGTTTGCCGTTTCAAGGTGCTGTCCTGGGCATGAGCCCAGCCGAGCGCAAGCTGTCCTTCTCCAGGCGCCTGGCCCTCTTCCGATCTTTGCTTGCTATTTCTGGCTTTCGCCACTTGGCAGGGGAAGCCCAACTCCAGGATACATGGGACACCTGCGCGCGCAGCGTGACGCGGGATGACCCGCGCTTCCTGTCCTGGCTTCTCGTCTGCGCCGGGGCGACCGCGGAGCCCGACATGTCAGCAGTGCCAGAAGTGGTATGTACAGCCCAGCGTGTGATCGAGTCCCAGCAACTAGATCTCTGCATTGCATTGGGTTTTTGTGGTTTTAGTGAGCATCTCGAACCCCAGGGAAGTGGTAATGTGAGGGTTGCACCAACACCAAGGCAAAAGATGTGGGCACACACTCTTTGTGGACCACGTGGTGGCGCAACACGGCTTACAAGGCGAATTGCGTCGTTGGTGATTGAATTTGTGGGCGCACCCTGCTTGATGCAAAGCAGAGAACCTGCGATTCGAAGACAGCTGTGTTCACTGATGTAGCTTCGTCAAGAGTAGGTTCTCCCTTGCAGGTCTTTTCATCCCCCAAGCCCCACACCTTGAACCTCTACCCCTTACATACATCGGTCTATTTGGGTTCATGCTTTTGGAAGAGCTTGAAAGCCGTGTTCGTGCTGTACAGTCTGTGCACGGATCGCCTCTATCCGGTACAAGTGTCGCCTTACAGAAGCAAAATGTGAGTGTGTGATTGCCTCCCCCCTCTAGAACAACATTGAATGCACGAACCAGCAGGCATGCATGCATGCCCAGATGAATGCTTACAGAAGAATTAAGACAGCGTCAGCTACAGTTTCATATCTGGAACTCGACAGTAGCAAGACATCTTCATCATGAAGAGGTCTTATTATGCTCTCTTTCAGGGAGGAGGCCACTTGCTCGTGCAGGCCGATGGTGATAGAGAACTCAGAGCCCGTCATGCTCTAAAGGCAATTTACAAAGGCGGTTTCTGGAGAATCCTGCAAAGGTCTCTATGCGGGGCTTGAGGGTTGGGGGTTTCAGGTTTTAGGATTGGGATTGACGGTTTTCCCTGATGTTCGATGTTGGAGAAACAAACCCAAAGCCCCCGAGACCCTACACGCCCAAAGCCAGACACCCGAAACGAGGACCCTCCGGCGCCCCCGTTATGGTCTCGATGGTTTTGGGTCTCGAGCTAGGCCCCACTCCTCCCCAAAAGAAAAAGCTCGCAGGTGCAAAGTGCAAAGACTTCTTTCGTACTTCCAGCCATCCTTTGGTATGCTCGGAGCTCGGTTTTTTCGCGGCTTGGGGCGCCATGCTGAGGAATGCAGCTTCCGGGGTTTATGTAGGGTTCAAGTTCAGAAGTGTAGGGCGTAGGTTCGTCTTTACACCGATTTTGTGGGGATTTTCTACAAGGATTCTGTGGCTTAGGGTTTCAGTGTGTGGGGCTCCGCTGCTCGCTTCACCTTCTCGTCGGGACTTGGGTTCAAACCTGAGTCCTGAAATCGCGAAAGCAAAGTCAACATTCCGTGCGAGGCCCCATATTCAAATTCTTTCTCTATGTGTGTACAGACATGCATGTATGTGTATATATATATATATATATATATATATATATATATACACGTGTGTATATATATATATATATATAAACGCATATAAATATGTAAATATATGTATGTATGTATATATATATATATATACACAGAAGCCCATTCTACATAGCTCCAGTCACCAACCAGCCCTCCATAAACCCGAAACTTTTGAGGGGCAGCGCCCTAAGCCTAGGCTCCAAACTCTAGACTCTAAAGCCCTGATAGTACATCTTATAAGCCCTAAACCGCCTAAACTCAAAACCCCCAAACCCCTGACTGGACACATTTCTCAGGTCCTGGCCTACGACAACCTCTCCGAGGCTCTTGCAGCTTCCGCTGCCCTTGGAGGAAGTGGTGGACCTGCCAGGGCTCAGAACTCAGGTGGGGTTCGGAGGCATCCTAGCTGAGGGTTTCGGGTTTCGGGCTTTTAGGCTGTAGGAATGTGGGTTGCGGCTGAAACTGAGGGTGTAATGCAGGGTCTTTGACTAAAAGGGGGTTTTGGGAGATATTGTCGGTGCAAATGAGCGCTGAGGACAGACAAGTGTCCGCCTGGGGCTTTCACATTCGGGAGCTTAACTCTGACCCGAAACCCGAACCTGTAAACCCCAATTGGCAGAACTTCTCTAACGAGTCCGAGGCCATCTTTATCGGCCTCCTCCTTGCATGCAGGGACGGCGTGGCAGAGGCGGTGAGAAGGGGGGGAGGGCTTCGGGCCTAGGATACTGTAGGGTTCAGGATCGTGAGGAGGTTATTGTATATTCGGGGTTAGGTTTAGGGGCACCAGATCTTTCAGCGTGTTTCATTCAGCACCAAATGGTTTGCGTTCGCTACTTCGCTGGTTGGCAGCTTGTTAGCTGGTTAGTTAAGTGCTGGGTGGGACGCCCGCTCACCTACCCATCCCCATCCCCATCCATCCATCCATCCATTCAGCCATCCATGCGTGCATACATGTTTTCGTACAAACATACATGCGTATATGTGCGTTGGCACACAAGTCCTCAGCCCTCAGACGCAAACTCTTCCGTCAAGGAGCTGGCTGGGCAGGCTCCTCCGCCCCACTTGCCGCCACTGCGAGCTAACAGGGGGAGGGGGTCCACTGTTAGGGTTGCTTAAGCATTCTTAGTATTCATTCAAAGCGCTGTGGAGTGTGGCACGGAATTGGGAGAGGGATTTGGACTTTCCAGGTTTGGTTTTTGAGGGCGAAGTCTTGGATGATTTGGTTAGAGAATACGGGGCTTGAGGGGTTAAAGTCAAGAGATGTGGCATTCGGGATTGGGGAGTTCGGGTGCAGGGCTGCTGAAGTTGCTACGAAATCATGGAGTTGAGGACACGTCCGCAAGTTTTTGACTGTTCGGCTCCAAAGCAGCCGGCTTCAACGTTTGGGGTTTTAGGGTGTGCGTTCAAGACGGGTTCCTAAACCCGAACCCATGAATATCCCCTCGCAGTAGATCGGACCGAAGCCGCAGAGCCCAGAACCATGAGCCCAAAATCATGCTCAACCCTGAACCTTGAGTTCTCAACCCAAAGTTCAACAGCCTTGTAGCCCCAAACCTTCCATACCAAACCTTGATATGAAGTAGGGTTTATATTACCGTTTTGGTGAGTGTAGTTAGGGCTCCTTTTTGGATTAGGTGAGTGTATATATTGGGTTTTATTAGGGGGATACTAATATTAAAAACCATACCCCATATAGCCCCAATTCCAAACAAGAATACTCAGTTCCAGGATCGCTTTCAGACCCGTTTTGCTCTCGGGCGCCGTTCTGAAGCTGTGCCGTCAGCCAGGCGGGGAGCGTTGCTGTTGCTCGCTGTTGTCGGAGGGCGTGTTTAGGGCGTGGCAGGGTTTGGGGGCTGGAGTTTAGGGTGTCAGGGTTTCAGGGATGGGGCCATTAGGCAGGACGCTTCTCGGAAAAGAGCTGTGGGATTTGAGCTACATAAACTTTCATCTCTTCGGCAGTATGACTCCGGCTTAGGGAGTTCAGGGGCCAGAGTTACGTTTACACCCTGAACCCCAAACCCTAAAAGCCCTAACCCTAACCCCAAACCCTATAATCCCTATAATTAAGCCCTAAACCCTTAAAACCCCAACCCCAAACCCTATGATACCTATAAGCCATAAACCCTAAAAGCCCTAGCCCTGAACCCTATAATCCTCATAAGCCCTAAACCCTAAAAGCCCTAACCGTAAACCCCAAACCCTATGAGATCTATAAGCCATAAACCCTAGAAGCCCTAACCCTAAACCCTATAATCCCCATAAGCCCTAAACCCTAAAAGCCCTAACCCTAAACCCTATATTCCTCATAAGCCCTAAACCCTAAAAGCCCTAACCGTAAACCCCAAACCCTATGATACCTATAAGCCATAAACCCTAGAAGCCCTAACCCTAAACCCTATAATCCCCATAAGCCCTAATCCCTAAAAGCCCTAACCCTAAACCCTATAATCCCGCCCTAAACCCTCAATGCTACAGAGGTCTCTGCCAGCGAAAGTCCCGGGAGCTGAACGGCGTCGAAGCAGAAGCTGACGCTCGACTGGGGTCTACCTGGGCCCTAAGAAGCCCTTACTAGAGGGGCCTAATTGATTTCAAGAGACCTTACTAGCGGTAGGTTTAAGTCGTCCCTGCTGGGGCGAAGTCGTCCCAACTCCATGTGCCGCAGGGTTTGGGTTAGTTTCCCATACCTCTACCATATACTTGTTTCTTATCCAGTCTCTACTTTCTGCGCGATCCAGTACTGTGCGCGGTCTTTCCTTGAAGTTGGATATATGTTGTGATGCCACTTGTGTCTGGAGTTGGTAGCGAAATGGAGCGTTTACATGGGGAATGGCTGGTTTTGATCTGCTGTTCGCTGTGATGCCACTGATGTGTTTCTCGAGCGGCTGCTTGCAACATCGAGCGTCTGCATGGGGAATGGCTGGTTTTGAATTGCTCTTTGCTGTATGCCAGCAGTGCTCTGTGCGTGGACTTCGGGTATTTGCAAACTCTGAGTGTGTCGCGACGCATACAAAAGGACTTCGGTTCCCGCAAGAAAAGACCAGCGTGTATACTTATTAGAGACTCGGTGCCGACATCTACAACCAGCATCCACCTTCAGGTTTTGGCATAAAGTCATGTGTATTCTCGCCATAAATGATGATTCCCAACACACCGTGCGCACGGCACGCGGCATTTCAGGTGCAAGCGGCGAACACCCCCAAAAATGCGTGTGCCCTTGCGGAATGGCTATAGTTTAAGTGTTGTTGGGCTGACATCACCCCGCTGGGGTGACTTCACTCCCGCGCCGTGTGCCACAGGCTTGGGGCGACTTTACGCCTGCGGCGACTTAAACCTAGTGCTTGTACCGATTTTTGGGCTCCTAAAGCTCCAGGGTTTAAGGTTTAGGGCTTAGTTCATATGATTTATGGGTTCTGGGTAGACCTTGATACGGCCTTAATGGGTATAGTTAGAAGAGGGTTTGTCTTTGTCCTTGGGGGTTCCTTCTTGCAATTATAGTATAAGTTACCCCCCAACCCTATTCTGATTGTTAGGCCCCTATATTGCCTAGTTTAGGGCTCCTTAATATGATCTCCTTATATCACCTTAGGAGGTAGGTTTTCTTGGATGAAATTGGGGCTTAATCTTGCAGTAGTGATCATTGAAGTCTCCCGCTTCGAGGATGGGGTTTGGAGAGCGCTTCGGGATTTTCGAGACTGGAGGTTGGGGTTTATGGGAATTCTGTGTTTCGAAACCGTCATCACAGCTCGCAAAGCAACACAGCCAGCCATGTTTCCCAACTCGCAAGGTCTGAAGTGTGCATGCCGGACACACTAGAAGGATGGTCCACTTAAATGAGTACACCTTCGGAGACGGGTGGTAACGCGCAAAGAAAAAGACCCCGAAACTCCTTTTCATCACAAACGCCCCTTTCTCATAATCTCAATCCTGAGCCCAGGAATGCAAAACCCTAAACTCCTAGCCGCAAGCCGTGCGCCTTGGACAAATATAAACCCTGCATCCAGGCAGTCCTCCCTCAAGAGCAATGTGGAGCTGGTCGCGGCCTGTCTTCAAAGAGAGTTATCTCGTGCAGGGCATGGGTGTAGAGTCTCTGGTCGAGGGTATGGTGTTTAGAGTACAGGGCCAAGGTTAGAGGGCTGAATACTTTTCTGGGGGTTTGGGGCAGACAGTGTAGGGGTGCACACCACCTACGAAGCCCGGAACTTAGGCGCTGAAGCCGACCGTGCAGTCTGATACATATACATATGCGTATGCACGCATACGTGCATCTATCTCTCTATCTATCTATTTATCTATCTATATCTACATATACATAAAAGAGATACTATATATGTATATGTGTATGAGAGTATGTATATGTATATTGATGTATATACTTATAACACACACACACACACACACACACACACACACACACACACACACACACACACACACACACACACACACACACACACACACACACACACACACACACACACACACACACACACACACACACACACACACACACACACACACCACACACACACACACACACACACACACACACACACACACACACACACACACACACACACACACACACACACACACACACACACACACACACACACACACACACACACACACACACACACACACACACACACACACACACACACACACACACACACACACACACACACACACACACACACACACACACACACACACACACACACACACACACACACACACACACACACACACACACACACACACACACACACACACACACACACACACACACACACACACACACACACGAACGAACCACAAATGTGCGTGTGTATGAGCTAAGGTCCTCAAATCCGGGTCAAAAACCTTTGTGCAGCCTTTTGAAACCCTTAAGTTATGCCCAGAAACCCACTAGCTATGGAAACCAGGCATCACGTTCCTTAAGATCACAACAAAAGGCCACTGCTATCGCATCTTCATGCGCTTCGATGGCTCCGGGCTTCTCGAGAAGGTGGGGCAACCACATGTGCGTACCCTAGACCCGCAACCCTATTTAAATCCAATTGCAGCATTCGACCCCGAAGCCTTAACCCTTGAGGTTCAGGCACCCTTGATTCCTGGACTGTGGCTTTCCACCGTGTCATCATCCGAGGGGCCCAAGTTGCAGATCAGCGGCTCCCGACACGAAGTCATGCAAGCGTCTCATAGAGTGTTAAGGTAACATAGGACTACAGGGGGTGCATTCCTTGGTGACTTCCACACCAGACGATGGCTCAGGATGTTTCATCTCTGTTTCGGTACTCATACGTTACCCATGGTGCCTCCTCGGGCGCCCAGTTCAAGCCTTCTAAAGCCTTCGCTTTCGGACGGGGCACGTTTTCGTCGCAAAGCAGGACACATCCCCTAAACCTTCAACCCTGCAACCAAATCCCTAAACCCGAACCACGACACCCGACACCCAAGCATCAAGCCCTCAAGCTTCCTGTTCCATTCCCCACAAAAACTTTTTGACTCTCTCTTCAACAGCAATGTCTCAGACCCGTTCCGCAACGGCGTGTTGAGACCGTCTTGTGGTAACATGCAGACGAAAAGGAAAGGAAATGCTTTACTATATACAGACCACAACGCAGAGGCATGATTAGAACCATTGGATACAACATCCTGGTCAAGGAATTCTAGGACCCCTCCAATCCAAGTGTACGTCTCCATAAATCGGGGCTTGAAGAGTTCCTTTGAGCGAGCACCTGAGCGCGCTGGAGAAACGCTCGCAGGGCACTAGCAAAAATAACCCAAGCATTAATTTTGTAAAGGTCCCCTAAACCCGAAATTTCCGATAAGGCAGAATATAGATCCCCCTTAAGCAGAATATAGATCCCTTTAAGGCAGAATAGCCTAAACCTTATAGATCCCTTAAAGGAATCCTTAAGCCCCAGAGCCTTCCACCGGCTCCGTCCGACAGGCCGGGCCCAAAGAGGCCCCGCCTGACTGGGACGAGGAGCCCCAGAGCAAGGGTTTCGGGGGCTTAGGGTTTCGGGGCTTAGGGTTTCGGGGTTTTGGGGTTTCGGGGCTTAGGGTTTCGGGGGTTTAGGGTTTCGGGGCTTAGGGGGGTCGGGGGCTTAGGGTTTTGGGGTTTAGGGTTTCGGGGTTTAGGGGTTTCGGGGTTTAGGGCTTCAGGGGTTTAGGGTTTCGGGGTTTAGGATTTCAGGGGTTTAGGGTTTCGGGTTTCGGAGTTTAGGATTTCGCATCCTTACGGCCCTGAATAAACCCTAAAGCATCCAACAACACCCTGAAACCCGAAACCGGGCAGGAGGAGGATGGACCCTGGACACCCGACGAGGTGGGAGCCAACTGCGTCGCTCGATACTTTCAGCTGCTGGGCAGATCCGTGTTTCAGAAGTCGTAGTGCCCTACACAAAGACCCGAAACTCCAGTAGGATAAGAGGAGAAGAACAGATGCAGCCCTAAGCCCGAAGCAAGTCGCACACTTGCGTCGGACCCTTGGTCTGAGCCAGGGCTTGATGTCTAGCTGTTTAGGGTTTAGGGGTGGGTATTCTTGGGCCCAGGTTTATCACGCAGAGTGGTCGCCATGCTCCATTTGGGCTATGGCCGGCGGACTCGATGTGCATCTCGACGGTTTAGGGCGTATAAGGCTTATATAGGGTTTAGGAGTTTAGGGTTTGCGGTTTCAGGTTTAGAATGAGGTTTCGGGCTTAGGGTTTGCAGGGTTTTTTAGGGGATAAGGCTTGCTTGGCGTTGGGCTGGACAACAGGTTGTGAGGCACGGTTTCAGGACTCATCGGACAGCAGTTTCCAAGTTTCCCAACCCCAATCCCTGCTGGTTTTCCTTGCGGAGAGGATGTGAGAGTCTCCGAATACACGGAAACGTCCTGTAGAGGCCACATACGAGGATCCTGATTATAAGGCCAGTGAAATCATTGACTCCTACATGTGCACACAGGCATGTTGGGTGGTGTGGCCGAGGTAAGTTCCAGCCGGAAGTGCCAGTGTGGCATGACTCCTTCGAGGCCCCAGCTTGGTTTCGGGCCTTGGAGAATGCTGAGGTTGATGGTGAAGATGCAACATTTACAGGGTTTAGGGTTAAGGGTTGATGGCTCAGCTGTGATGCTTCTGCACACTGTACAGCTCGGTGGATGTTTGTCTCTCACGAGTATCGAGCCACGAGATGGCTAAAACCCGTGAACCTGAAGCCGCAAGACTTTCCTGCAGTGTCATCGCCCGAATCCTGTAACCCTTCACTCCTAAACCCTCATAATCCCTATAAGCCTTTCGACGCAAAACCCTGAACCCTGAACCTTAAACCTCAACCCCCAACACCTTTCGCCCAGGGTAAGCTGCCAGTCCTTGGCCCACAGCCTGAGACCCTAAGAGCATTGGACCATTTTCTATCGGGTGTGAAGACTTCTAGTAATGGTGCCCCCTTTTTTATCCCTAAGAAGTAGCAAGCCCCCCAAGACCATCTTCTACTTATTAGCTAAGGCGCATGTAGCACACGAAAAAACACCAAGGAATCTAAATCAGAAATATCCAATAAGCACTGTAACCCTAAACCCTAAACCCTAAAACCCTAAACCGAGCACTGTTTGGCGATCCGAAGATCCGAACAGCCCGAACGAACCCTTTTGACCCTGAGCCGAACCCCAGCGCTTTAGTCGCGGGAGGTCTCTGCGCCGGAGCCCCTGTCTGGGCTGATCGGTGGCGCAGTTCTCCACGCAGGCTCCTCCTTGGGGTTTTAGTTGAGTTTCATGTTTAAGGGCTGTGCAAGGGCTGACTATTGTGTTTTTGGATACCTTGGACCACAAAGAAGTCAACGAGTCCAATAAAACGAGCAACACTGGAGGCTATAGTCAGGAGTTCACTGTTTAGAGATGCTCCCAGGGTTCTGGATGCTTGGCTTCTGACCAGGATTTGGGAATCTGTGCTCAGGGTTTGGTTATAATGCCGAGAAGAACCCAGCTGTTTAGCTTCTTCGGTGAGTATTCGACTGGGGGGCTTGGGTGGCTTCTTGCTTCTACGGCCTGGTGCGTACTGTAAGATTCAGAGTTCAGTCTACTCCCAAGCACCGCTAAGCCCCCCGAACCCTAAACCGCCATACCCGTAAAATCCTGAGCCCCGAAACCAAGTAAGCAACTCGCACCCCCAACTGTAAGCTCTAAACCCTAGGTCCCAACCCTAAAACCCTAAAGCCCTAAACCCTAAACCCTAAAACCCTAAAAACCCTAAACCTTCAAAGCCCTAAAACCCTAAAACCCTAAACCCTAAAACCCTAAATCCGAATCACCCCGCCCCAACTGTAGAAGGAGCCAAGCGCTTCGACGTGAAGATCCCCAGCCTCTCAATGTTGGAGCCGCAGCGTCCGGCTCCTTGGTGCCTGCGTTTTAGGCCCTTTAGGGTTTGAGGCTTCAGGGTTTATCAGTTTTGGGTTTAGGGTTTGGGGTTTATTAGTTTTGGGTTGAGGGTCAGAAAGTTTAGGGTTTATTAGTTTTGGGTTTGAGCTTTAGGGTTTATCAGTTTGGATTTGAGGCTTTGGGGTTTATTAGTTGTGGGTTGAGGGTTTGAGGGTTTAGGGTTTCTGGTTTTGGTTTAGGGTTTGAGGGTTTAGGGTCTATTTATTGGTTTGGGTTTAGGGTTTGAGGCTTTAGGGTTTATTTATTAGTTTGGGTTTTAGGGTTTGAGGCTTGAGGGTTTATGTATTAGTTTGGGTTTAGGGTTTGAGGTTCTGGGTTTTGGTTGAGGGTTTGAGGCTTTAGGGTCTAGGCGGTTCCTTTTCAAGGTCCTTTAAGGTAAGAGTTGTGGAAAGGTCGGGGCCGCTGCTAATTCTTTGGAGTTCAGGGTTTAGGGTTGATAGGAATGGCTGCCGCGAGGATCCTAGCGTTAGGGACCCCCAATCTACCACAACCTGTAGATCCGAGTTAGCCTAGTTAGAGCTTTTCATCACATGAAGCTGGAGGAATTACACGCTCATCAACATAGAAAGGACGATCAATGATGCAATCCCCCATCATACCGAAGCCCAACGCCTGAAGAGGTTCAGCCCTTCAGGATTGTGCTGGTGGGGTCAATTTTTCATCCCCAAACCCTAAACCCCTAAAGCCTAAACCCGGCAGAGAGGGCGCTCAATGGGGGCTCGGGCACTTCAAAAGGTTAGCTCTTGGTGTTGAATTGACAGGTGATCTCGAATAACATAGAAGCCTGAATGCTTGCCGAGACACTGTTCCTGAACATTGTCTTTGACGAAACGATAAAAAATAGAAAATCAGGCCACTATATTCGATATTCCTTAGAGTTCTTTCATGACGAAGCTATAAGACCCTATTCTAAACATATAGACCACTATATTCGTGGCTCAAGCCTTGCCAGCTAAGGATTGGGCCAAGCACTGCACGCACGTGGGCCGAGTGAAGCTGCCCCAGGGCGAGTGGAGCTTCGGAGCATCATGATCAGGAAAAGTTACCACAGGGCTCGGAAGAATTGATGTTACTTGTAATGTAGTGTACACTTATAATGAGTCCCTATAGAATTATAGGGGTCGGAAGAATCGCCAGTATTGTTCCTCAGGGTTCCTTACTATAATGAGAGTCCACCGCTTTGCTCGGCTGACGAAGGATCTCTCTCACGTGAAAATTCCAGCATGCTGCAGGCACAGAAGTATGAGGAGAGGCATTAGCAGACCTCTTAGTTATATATATATATATATATACACACACATACATATAATATATACATAACCCGAAAACCTGAAAAGGACCCGTGGAGATCGAACACCCGACCACTCAAGCCGCCTCCCCTGCCTCTGCCACTTGCACAGGTCGAAAGGCCTCGTCCTCCGATTTGGTGAAGGTTCATCTGGGCTGTTTAGGGTTCAGGGTTTAGGGCTGAGGGTTTATAGGGTTTAGGCTTCAGGGTTTAGGGGTTTAGGGTTTAGGGGTTTGGGATTTAGTATACGGTTCAGGATCAAGGGGTTGGGATTGAGATTCGGGGTTGCGGGTTCAAGGATCAATCAGCCACTTATGGGATCTTATGGGCTTTTGTGTGATTTGACTCGACACGGAAGGATCCTTCTAGAAGAAGGCTTGCTTACGCTTGCAGCACACTCTCTAAGTTTGGAGGTGGGCGGTGAGGGGCGCTATGTCTTTACGGTTCAGGGTTGATTGCGAACCAGGGTTTGAGGCTTGAGGCTTGAGTTGGGATTGTTTTAGAAGGGTTGAGCAAGATTTGGCCGTAAAAAGCGATCTTGAACTTCCGGCACGATTGGGATCGCATCTCCCAGACAGGAGGAAGCATTGAATCCCATCTACCTCAAAGGCGGATCGTGGGGAAGCACTCCATCAAACCCCTCTAGGCCACTGCTCTCTCCCTGCACATTTGAGCCGGCCGAGCTTCGGCAATGCACTTTTGATTCCAGGATGCTGGCACTTGGCTCCAGAGCTTTTCAGGTGGACTGACGGTGCTTAAGGGCTTTGTTTAGTTGCAGGATCAGGAGACTTAGTGCGTAGAGTGTACATGTCTTTATTTAAGGTTCGAAGTTCATACAACTACAACCCTAAACCCTGAAGTGCGTAACCTCCCTTTCTAGGCCACCCCCCCCCCCTCCTAGGGTTCGGAGGGTTGCAGTGGCAGGCCTATGGATGACTGCCCGACTCCTGGGAGCTACGAAGAGTATGGATGTGGCGGCCGGGGTGCCTAAGAGCAGCTTGGGATCTGCGTGAAAGCCTGTCTGGTGCTTAGTAGGGAATGGGGGAATGGATCCCTAAAGTAGCCCCTACATAATCCTCAATTATAGTCTCCATAATCCATTCCCCCATTTTCTACTAAGAACCGGGGAGAAGCAAGCGTGTGTGGGTGGGTGTGTGTGTGTGTGTGTGTGTGTGTATGTGTGTGTGTGTGTGTGTATGTGTATGTGTGTGTGTGTGTGTGTGTGTGTGTTTGTGTGTGTCCGTCCCCGGTATCTTTGAGTTTGGGGGCTGGGAGCTTTCAATGTAGGGCTTGAATGCGTTGTAGAGCTTAGAGTGTCCACGGTTTAGGGCTTACAGTAGGGTTTTGGTGCTTCTTTCGACCATCAAGTTATTCTCAAGTAGCCCATCATCTGAGCAGCGCAGAAAAGTGCACATCACTTGGGACCAATTGAGACATCAGCCAAGTTCGCAAGGCTTCTCTTGCAAAGCTCAGTCCCTCAACCCCAAGAAGCCCAGCCTTACAATGAACAGACCGTAAACCGAAGAGCCTCTACCCAAACCCTGAACCGTGAACGCAGTGTCCACCCAAAACTTGAACCCGTGGAACCTTAAAGCCCCAAAAGTCTCCTCGACTTCCCCTGAAGAGGACCCGCAGGCAACAAGGATGAAGCTACCCCCACTTTGAGCTTCCGGGCTTCAGATTCGGACTTATGGTTGGAATTTAAGGCCTCAAAGCTTTGGGTTTCCGAAGCCCTGCTGCATTTGGGCCCAGAGGCCCTTCCCATCGGCGCTAGGGGGGCGTGAGGATCAGGGTTTAGGATTCGGGTTATAGGGTTTAGGGATTCGGGTTTAGGGGTCTTTAGGGTTTCTTTCTGGCTCGTGGCTCAGAGTCAGGTCTTGCGGCTCCACGCAGGAGGACAATCGCCAGCCTGAGCCTTTGCTGCTATTGCCCAGAGAGCCCAAACCTCCTTCAGTAAGCTGAAACCTTTTGTAAAACCCACGTGGGGCTAAGTCTTATGATCCTAGCATGTCGGCCTTGCTTCGGTGGGGATCTGGAAGCCTGAATCCCAACCAACTGACCGTCCTGAACCCTTCCGATCCAAAGCGAAAACTAGAAGCCCTAAACCCTAAACCTCAAACTCTAAACCCTAAACCCAAAGCAAAAAACTGGAAGCCCGAGTTGTTCGAAATGTGGAACCACGCTGGGCCCTCGCCCAGGTTGGGATGCCCCTCGCATTCTCAGAGCGGCTGCCGAGGTGTGCTGGCTCCAACAGCGAGGTCTAGGGACCTTCATGGTTGCCTGCATTAGTATTTTGGGGGTTCCTTATTATATTTATCGTATAGTGCGCCCCCAAACCCTATTCAAACTGTTCAGGCCCCTAAGGCTACATTACAGCCTGAGCGGGTGTAGACAGTGTAGAGTGTAGAAATCAAACATACTCAAGTCTTGAAGCAGGGCGCTGAGTTGGGTAGTTCAGCTATCCTCTCGGTCGAGGCCGTAGATTTACCTTCCGTGATTGCTTGTTGCCGAATCGGGCTTCCTGCCCAACCTGGTATGTGGTTTAGGGCAAACTCCAAAGTTAGCTTGATCCGGAGATGCGGGGATGCAAGCGCAGGCTCCAGGATGTGGGCTTCGGCCCGAAGCCATGAACCATATGGGAGTTTCCGAAAATAGGGGACCCTAATATGGTACCCTAAGCCCTAAGTAGTAGGATCCTTATTATAAGGACTCCAAAATAAGGTGCCACCAGTTTTCGGAAACTCTCATGTACACCCTAGACCCTAATCAGTCGAACGTGCGTGGAGGCAGGGCGAGCGCGTGGCGGTCTGTGGCATGACGCAGTATGGGACGGAGGCGAACTCCAGGGGATAATGATTTAATGACCATAAAGTCCTTGTTATTGTTGTTGTGGTGGTGATGATGCCGGTTATGATCCTGGTTTCGGGGCGCTCTGACAGGCACGTTCCCGTCTTTTCAGATTCTCGTGATGACGCGTGAATCCGGAAGGTCGAATCCCGAAGCCAATTCTGAGCATAGAGATTCTTCTGCTTTTAAGGTTGGTTTTCCAAATCTTGAGCCCTCAGCCCTCAACCCCCGAACCCAGGGCCGAATCCCTCAGTTGATCGTGGATACCCAGAACCCATTTGGCACCCGTCGCTCTTGACCCTAAACGGCAAATCTCTCAATCCCGAATCCAAACCCTTGACCGGTATTGCAGAAACCAGAACCTTGCGACATCATGATGCTCCATGACTTTTCGGAAAAGTATGGACCGGCAGAACTGGCCCTGAATCCATGTTGCAGGTTTTCACGGACATTGCTGTTGGTATCTCCTCAGAACCCGAACCCATCTACGCCCTGAAGCCTAAATCGTGGATCAACCGAAGCCCAAAATAGCCAACATACCTTTTTCAGGACTTACGTAAGACTTCATAATAAGCAGCCCTAGAAAAGAGTATGCTTCGTAGGATTTAGGTATATCCTAGATTTTGGAGTTTACTGCAGCCAGCTTCTCTTTTCCCCCGCCCACGAAGAAGTAGTATCCATAAGGACCCCGCCAAAAACAAAGATCAGGTTCTTCCATTACCCTTATGAGAAAATCCTGTATATAAGAAGTTCATGACACCCTGTGGCATCCATACAAGATGGACAGAAAATGAGCCACCCCAACCCTCCCTCAATCGCGTCAATCCCTTGAAGCCCCAATAAACCCTAAACCCTGCAAGCCCTAAACCCTGCAGTGGGAGCCAGGTAGTCGGTCTGTCTGGCCTTGTGAGCCAGCCGAGGCTGAAGCTACCGGGGTTGTCTGTTTTGGGTTACTTTTGAAGGGTTTAGGCTCCCGGGCCGTTAAGGCTCGAAGGGTTCTTTCAAGACTTCGGCACGTGTCTTTCTTTTGTAGAATAGTGGACCCTGATGTAATTAGAGCCTAAGTTGTAGGTTCCTGGCTGTTCCCTGGTGCCTCGGGTCTTGTTACTCATTAACTGTGTACTTGTGGATGATGATTTTCGAACATCAGTCTGCTGCATGAGTCAGGGGATCTTTGCATCTAGCTGTTATTTCCGCCAAATCCCTTACAGTTCAGGACTAGTAAGAGGCATGCGAGCACATTTCTGGGATATTCGCCCCGAGCGGCTAAGAGGTGAAACGATCTTTGGAAGCAACTAGGCCAGAAGAATGTACAAGTGTGTGGACTTGATCGATTCACAACGGGCATTAGAGTAGCAGTGGCAGAGGCAGTTTGAAGAGTCGTCTCAGAAGGGCTGAATGCAGGAAAGTGAGCGAGTGCTTGCTACAGCGATCCTATACAATCGTATTTGAAGTTTCCTGCGTGCCGATCAATCACTTGGCTCAAAGCTGGTTACTGAAACAGCCAACTCCAGTGGAGGTGTTCGCTTCAATCGTGGGGCGTGCACACGCACGCACAGTGACATTGTCAACTTTGCATCGAGGAACCCAACTAGACGAGGCGAGAATGTTTAACACCAATCGAGAAGCACATAGTCAAACAAACCAGCCAAACCGCGGCCCCATGGACGGTCTGTTCGTGGATGCATTGCCGGCCATGGGGCCTGCGTACACCTTCTGGGACTTGCACCGCATGTTGGCCGATTGCTATTCGGCAGATGTTGCGGAGCAGAGGTGGCAGAGCCTTGGTGCTGTCTTTTGACACGTCTCACGAAGGATTATAGGGGGGACCATCAAACAAGAGTGTAGACTATTGGGATATTGGGGTGCCTTTCATCTATCCCTCGCAGAGCACCAATACTAAGGCCAGAGCATTCGAGATCCCGCCACTACAATCGGCAACCGTCAGCCGGACCCGACGCCCATGGAGTGAGATTCGCAGACCTTCCACCCAGGCGAGACCTCTCTCGTCGCTCCAGCCATAGCCATCATAGCCAGGAAAGGGCGGTCCCACCCACGGATTGCCATCCCAATCCTCCGGAGGAGGCTTGTAGTACGCTGGCAAGGCTCCAGAAGGGGAGAACGAAAGACTCCTTGCACAATCTGCTGAATCTACATGGATTTGAGGCCGATTCAAAGGAATCAGAGGAGATTGACATGACCAACTTCCAGCTAAAGGCTCATGCATGTTGGCAATCGGATGTACAACTCAAGAAAGCTGGGACGACGACGCAGCGTTCGAGGAAATCTGCCAGCATATCGGTGCTGAGCAGCAATGCGTCGATGCACATCAGTTCTCCAGTGACAGAGGGCGACATGCAACCGGCTGCAGGGTCGAGACTTAGTGGTAGAGTAAGTAATCCTTTACCTGATTTTTGGCACCAATTTAGCTTTCTTTCGGAAACTGGACAAGCAAGGAGATTCATGTTGCATCCGAGTGGCACATTCCGATCCTGCTGGAATGTTTGGATAGGCATCTTAGTGCTCTACGATCTCCTGGTCATTCCACTGCTTGTCTTCACGCTGCCTTCATGGGTAAACAACTTCTTGGGACTGCGATCCCTGCAACTCTTCTGGATTGCAGACTTTGTCATAACGTTCTTCACTGGTTACTACAGCCGGGGTCTTCTGGTGCTTGCTCCTCAGCCGAAAGATCCTGCGATTCCTTCAAGTGTGGGACCTTAGGGGCATGCTTCACGTCGCAAGAACCATGATCACTTGCAATTTTACAAAACGATACTATGCCCTCAACCCCAAGCCCTGAACCCTGCTAAGCTAAGCCCTGAACCCTAAACGCTGTACCCTACTGCCCCAGACAGACCCGGCCCTCCAAGACATTTAAGTAATAATCGAAAATATAACTTGAATGAATGTCGGGATCCCACATCTCAAGCAAGCAAGAGAAATGCCTCATCATAGGTCACACACATACACTCTTTCTCTGCATAATATTAATATATATATATATATATATGTATGTATACATAGAGAGAGTGGCACGTGTAGTATGATATACGGCCAGCACTCATTCTTCGCACGGCCTTCGCGGTTCGGGTTCAGGACCCTGGCTCTCGCAGCCCCAAGCTCAATGACCTGAATGCCTGACCCTCCCATATGCCTTCCTACAGGGGGTCTCAAGGGTGTTGGGGTATGGCATAGTACACTTGTTTTGGGACTGCTTGGGGGCACGATAGTTGTTGGTTGTTTTGGCTGTCATTCATTTGTATGAGTGTTACTCTGTTGTTGCTCTTCGTCTTCTTATTACCATTATTGTTACTAGTGTCTTTGAGATGATTTCTTGCATTCGCACCTTTGGCTCCTGAAGAACGGCTACAGGATCGATGTAAAGTCGCCCAGCAGTACGCCCGAACTTGGATGTGCTTCGATCTTGGTCTGCTCTGTGTGGATCCTTGGACTTCAGAATCCACAGCCAGTGGGAGAACTGGTTTAGGCACCTAAGGGCCTAATACTAATACTACTATTACTACTACTAATGCCAATATTAATACTGTTATTAATACTAATACTAATACAGGGTTTGGGGTTTAATGTGTAGAGATCCAGAAGCTTAGAGGTCGTTTGCGATAACTTTCAGGCTGAAGCGTACTTCTTCTTGCAGAATTGGCGGGTTTAGATGACAGTGAGGTCGTTGGGCCTTTTTGGGGTCTTCCGTGAGCTCTGCCGAAGCCCTCGTCTGCGATAAGCTTCGATTTCGAAGCCCCCCGTTCCATTCCTTCTCAAGATATCCTACTCCTTGATGAACCCTGAAAACCGGCCTCCTTGGCAGCCCGTCATTGTAGCAGAAACGCCTTTCCGCTGAGAAATTGATTTGCTGAGCTGTTTTGTCAGTCGTGCTGGCAGCAAGTCGCTGTGGCCACAACGCCAACCAGCTTCAAGAAGTCTGGGTAAACCCCAAACGTTTAACCCTAAGCCCCTCGACCCTCAACGCCTGAACCCTAAACCCCCAAAAGCCCTGATCCTTTAAACCCCCCGAACTTCGAATCCCTGAGCAGAGGACTGGTTCATTAACATCCTCGACCTATCCACGGCCGAGAGTCCGGAAACCTGGTCCCAGACGGTGCGCATGCTACGTCTCCTTCGGCTCCCTAGCGACTTATAGGGCTTCTAGGGTTTCGGGGCGTAGGGTTTATGATGGGGGTTTAGGCTTTATAGGGGTCCAGGAGTCTACCAAAATGTGTGCTTCTATTTTCCCGGAATATCCACATCCTCAAGAAGTTGAAGCATTGACACAACATGCCATGAACTTACAAGTAAAGATTTGAAAGAAGTATGAAATTCCGTTGATGGAATTTGAGTCCGGAGCCACCTAAGGCTCCTGCGGATCCTCCGAGCAGTGAAGCTGCGCCGGGGGTTTCTGGCCGTTCAAGACTTGCTCCACTCCCAGGCCACAGTGGCGAAGTTTATGGATCAGGGCCTCTTTCAGGGCTCCTGGAGGCCTTCTTTTCGGATCTGAGTCTTAGGTTTCCGAAGTATGAGGACAAGGTTCAGGGCTTCGGGACAACCGAAGTTTGGAGGCCGGAGTGCTCTCCTTCTTTGTTAACCGCTGAGGGGACTTTGTGCTCTAAGGGTCTCGCGAGATACTCTCGAAGCCGAAAACTCAGGCATACTATTCTGAGGTTTCCTTATACTTCAGAGCTGCAACACTTTCTACCTCCCCCTAAGACGTATTTGTTCTTCTTCGGCCCTTGAATTACCTTTAGGGGTTTCTGGGTCTTCCGAGCCCAGGCGGCGAGCCTTTATTTGAGCTTCTTCTTCAGCTTCTTTGAGCTTCTGATACTCAACCACTGGGTGGCCTGCGCTTGGTTTGGGGTGCATTGGCTGAATAGCTCGGAGAACTGGGTGCTCGCAAGTGGCCTCGATGACAGGGACGCGGTCTTCCAGTATTTAAGCTGCCTGCTCTGGGCATTTTGCCAGCTCGGTGTGGGCGAAAGTCCGCTCCTTCCCACCAATAAAACAGAGATGGTGCCTAGGATGCCCAGTAGTACCCTTATTCCCTTTTTGTAGTCCTATAGGTTCCTTATAAAGTTACCCAATACCAAAAGAGAGGCCTTGTTTTTTCTTAGGTTACTGGGTATCCTAGGTGCTGAACAGTGTCGTTGGATTCCGGTCCCTCGTCACCTCAGCAACTCTCATCAGCACCATGAGCGGCCTCATCGCTGGTTTGCGCAAGCTGAGGGAAGATGAGATTTCTGAGTTTCGCCTTTTGCGCAGATATCTGCAGCAGAACAACATTCCGCACGCCCTGGGCCAGAAGGTCATCCGGGAAAGCCTCCAAAATCCTGAAACCTAAACGCGAAACCCTTAAAAAATCCCAAAGGCCTAGGCCCGAAACCACAAAAGCCGCAAAGGTGACGCAGTTTCTTCAGCACCAATATGCGGAGAGGCAGCACGAAAGGTCACTACATATGCATGTGCCACTCCTGAGCCTCCTGTCTCGGCCGATGTACCACGAGCTCCAGTGGCTTGGTTCAGGTTAAGCAACGTAGTTACTCTAGGCTTGTGGTGGATTTAGGGTCAGGGTTAAGGAAGATAGTTCCCAGGTTTCAGGATTGGGTGTATATAAGTCGAGTGCTTTCGTTATTGTGTCAACTTCAAGCTAGTTCCCTTGAACACCCCTACAAGTCCTGGGAGATGCTTCTGGACCCGGTGTTCTGGGCTCTCCTCAGGAATCATGACCCATTTTTGTGGTAGAACAAATTCAAGCAATTGTTAAACAGTGTAAGGTCCAATGAACTTGTCGTCTACTACAGAGGTCCAAAGATTTTGTAATTGCAGTAAAAGCAATCCCTACAGCCCCGATGTACTTCTACCATAAAACAGTAAAACACGTCAAATCAAAACCTTACTGGAATTATTCTGGCTCCTACATGAATCTCCTCATAAGCATGTTGATCCTTTCAAGAAGTTCCAGGTTTGAGAGACATCGCGTGGCACTCTCGAAGATTGGCGTCGTTCGGGAACTCCTTGAGGCTGTTTTTCATGTAATTAGTCTTAAAACTGTTACTACTACTACAACAACAACAACTACTACTACAACTACTACAACTACTACTACCACTACTGCTGCTACTACTGCTACTGCTGCTGCTGCTGCTACTACTACTACTACTGCTACTACTTCCAATATTTTTGTTCTGATACTATTACTATGACTATTGTCACTATTGCTATCGTTATGTGCGCTTCGTGAACTCAAGGGTCTCAGGGTGAAGGGTTTAGCAGCTTGTGAACTCAAGGGTCTTAGGGCAGAGGGTTTGAGTAGGGTTTAGGGTTTAGCACTGCGTTATTTTCAGAATCTAGGTCTTAGTGTTTAGGGCTTAGGTCCAGGTTCTGGGGGTGAATTTAAGACTACGGTCCTTACAGACTGAACACTGATTCTAGGGCTCTGCGGGGTCGTCATGAATGCAAACAAATCAATAAGCAAGCAATAAATTCATGGATATACCGTTTTCCGTCTTTGTGAAGCCAGAGCCATCAAATATACATACATATACATATACATATATACACGGACTACTACAAGGGGACGCCATTTGCAAACATTCCGACCCCTACATTCTGGCTCATGTCGTTTAGGGCCAGTTCATCACCGAATAGTATAGAGAAGGTGAACAACCTGCCCATAGCGATAGTTAATAGTCCGGAAGCCCTGCATGGACACTTCTGGACTCATACACCTTGATCGTCCTGCAGGGGGATGAGGTGCATTCTCTGCACACCTTGCATCAGTATCTTGTTCGCAGAAAGCATTTGGGGCACGAAGACATGATGACGAGGAAGATGAGCAGAATCATAGTGCTCATTACTCTGAAATACTGCCGACGAAACTACCTTTGAGGACTGTGTGTGCCTTTCTCCTGGCTGCAGTTTGGCTTGGGCCGTCCGGGCCAGGGCTTTCTGACTTAAGTCTGGGGTTGTTGATGCGAAGGCCTTGTCAAGACTGGGGCCGGGTTTATAGTTAAGAGCGTCTGCATAGCAGGTCGCTGTAAGACCCCTAGCTCTGATGTCCCGGATTTGGAGGAACCACAACCCCCCCCTGTCCAAAAACACTCACATTGCTAAACTGTAAACCAAAGCCCCAAAGCCGTAAAACCAACGCCTTCAATTGGGTGGTTGTCAAAATTGGGGTCCTTTTTTCAGCACCCTAAATATTAGGTGCCGTATTAAGGTAGGTAGGGTTCGACCTGCAGCAGTAGCCGCGGCCTCCACCACTCTTCCCCGCCCAGCATCTCGGGGGGCCTCCGCAAGCGTCATCGGCCCCCTCCGCGGGAGGTTCCAGAGGGGGCTTGAACTAGAGTCAGGACTATAAGTGGAAACGAAGGCCGAGACCGGCACGGACTGGTCCCGAAAGAAATGGGGAGCCTGAAACCCGCCGGAAGTGGCCCAAGTCTGGGTTATCAGCCCGGAAAGGGGGTTTGGGCCAGAAGAGGGGGGGGGGGCGACGCAAAGTGGGTAACTGGAGAAGGGGAAGGACGATGCACTCGCGGACGCGTAGAGGCGGGGGGCCCAGCAGAGCCGGACTCGAAACCGAGGCCTGGCATGTAATGGTAAGAATCGGGGTAGCGGCTACGGCTTCACGAGAAACGTACATTCTCGGAGCGAGACTATACGGCCTTGCGAGAAGCGGTGTCTGGAACGACGTGAGGAGCGATGCGTACTGCGACAGAAAGAAGCGGAGCTACCGCCGTGCGCGGGTCGTTTACCCAGGTCCCCGATCTGGGAGCTAGAAGCGGGTCTGGAACGACTTGGGGAGCGCTGTGTGGTGGACGCGATGGAAGAAGCGGAGCTACGGCCGGGATTTAACAAACCGGGGAGAGAAGGGGGGACTGGGACGACATGAGGGGCGCTGCTTGGTGGACGAAATGGAAAGAGGCGGAACTACGGCCTTACACGGGTCGTTTACCAAGACCCGCCACCTCGGGGTGGGAAGGGGGGTCTGGAACGAGAGGTGGCCGAAATGGAATGAAGTGGAGCTACGGCCTGACGCAGGTCGTTTACCAAGACTAAGACCCGCCACCTCGGGGTGGGAAGGGGGGTCTGGGACGACATGAGGGGCGCTGCTTGGTGGACGAAATTGATTGAGGCGGAACTACGGCCTTACACGGTGGGACGACATGAGGAGCTGCGTGGTGGACTAAAAGGGAAGAAGCGGAACTACAGCCTTATGCGGGTCGTTTACCAAGACCCGCCACCTCGGGGTGGGAAGGGGGGTAAGGAGCGACATGAGGACCTGCGTGGTGGCCGAAATTGAAAGAAGCGGAACTACGGCCATACGCGGGTCGTTTACCAAGACCCGCCACCTCGGGGTGGGAAGGGGCGTCTGGAACGACATGATGAGCAGCGTGGTGGACGAAATGGAAAGAAGCGGAGCTACGGCCTGACGAGGGTCGTTTTCCAAGACCTGCCACTTCGGGGTGGGAAGGGGGGTCTGGAACGACATGAGGACCTGCGTGGTGGACGAAATAGAAAGAAGCGGAACTACGGCCATACGCGGGTCGTTTACCAAGACCCGCCACCTCGGGGTGGGAAGGGAGGTCTGGAACGACATGAGGAGCTGCGTGGTGGAGGAAACGGAAAGAAGCGGAGCTACGGCCTTATACGCGGGCCGTTTACCAAGACCCGCCACCTCGGGGTGAGAAGAGGGGTCTGGAACGACATGAAGAGCTGCGTGGTGGAGGAAACGGAAAGAAGCGGAGCTACGGCCTTACGCGGGTCGTTTACCAAGACCCGCCACGAACGACACGAGGAGCTGCGTGGTGGACAACTTGTGGCAACAAGCCGAACTACGGCCTAACGCGGGTCGTTTACCAAGACCCGCCACCTCGGGGTGGGAAGGGGGGTCTGGAACGACATGAGGAGCTGCGTGGTGGACGAAATTGAAAGAAGCGGAACTACGGCCATACGCGGGTCGTTTACCAAGACCCGCCACCTCGGGGTGGGAAGGGAGGTCTGGAACGACATGAGGAGCTGCGTGGTGGAGGAAACGGAAAGAAGCGGAGCTACGGCCTTACACGCGGGCCGTTTACCAAGACCCGCCACCTCGGGGTGAGAAGAGGGGTCTGGAACGACATGAAGAGCTGCGTGGTGGAGGAAACGGAAAGAAGCGGAGCTACGGCCATACGCGGGTCGTTTACCAAGACCCGCCACCTCGGGGTGGGAAGGTGGGTCTGGAACGACAAGAGGAGCTGCGTGTTGGACGAGATGGAAAGAAGCGGAGCTACGGCCTGACGAGGGTCGTTTACCAAGACCCGCCACCTCGGGGTGGGAAGGGGGGCCTGGAACGACGTAGGAGCTGCGTGGTGGACGAAATGGAAAGAAGCGGAACTACGGCCATACGCGGGTCGTTTACCAAGACCCGCCACCTCGGGGTGGGAAGGGGCGTCTGGAACGACATGAGGAGCTGCGTGGTGGACGAAATGGAATGAAGCGGAACGACGTCCATACGCAGGTCGTTTACCCAGATCCCCGATGTCGAAGCGAGCAGGGTCTGGAACGACAGGGGGAGTCCTTCACTATCCGCTCTCAAAGAGCGCTAACACACGTCGAGGAAGAGGAGACAACGCTAGGAAACCTACAGAAGTCGGTTACCCAGAACCCTGTGTGTGACTGGAGGGGGTGACTTGGTAGGCACGCGACGAGGAGGTGCCGAACCTAAGGGGCCTGTTACTAAAGAATCGGATGCCCAGACTCCCAGGAACGGCGAGAGGGGCCGACTGGGATGACACAGGATTCTACTCGAGGGAGTGGATGCGAAGGTGAGATAACGCAAACACTCGTCGAGGAAGTGGAGGCGAACCTAAGTAACCTGCAGAGGTCGGTTGACCAGACCCCCGTGAGTCGGCGCGAGGGGGAGTGGGCTGCGCATGAGCATGTCAGGGAGCAGCGGTGCAGAATGAATACACGCAAGTAGGTAGACACTACATGTGAGCGCATGGCGGAAACTAGGGAGGCGGCTGAACGGATGGATGAGCGCGGACTGGCAAGAAGATGGGCGAGGAGGCTTGGAATTTAAGGAGCCAGTGGAGGGGGCACTGTCACCCCGCCGCAGCTGACGATACAAGGTGTGGGTGCTCATCGGGCCTGGAAGGCAGCCCTTAGTGCCGCCCCGGGGGTCCACACACCTTAAGAGGAGGGGAGTCGTCAGAAGGCTGCGACGGGCCCCGGGGAGGTGCCGTATTAAATTTAGGACTCCCCAAAAAAGGACCTTAATTTTGACAACCGCCCAACTGTGAAGCCCAAGGATGGCTAGTGAAAGCCTCGTTCCCATCCTCGCGGCCGCGGGTGATTCGATCTTCCTCAGCGGCCACGTCGCGAAATCATCGTTCCTAATGATGACTGGAGCTCTGACAGAGTTTACAAAGGGTTTAGAGGGGAATACTTAGGAACATTTGTTCCTTGGGGCTCTTTCGTTTAAATGTGGTATAGAATGCCAGAGCCGTATTCTAGTTCTTTGGGCCTCGATATTGACGAGTTGAGGTTTTCACGGTTTAGGGTTTTTGCAACTTTAGGTTTCGCTCTATCATGGGGGCTTACCGGGTTTGTGGCCACGAGGCCGTGGCAGGGTTCAGAGATATCGGTAGAAGTAGACTTTGCAGTATGCAATCAGCTCAACGCAGCTGTAGTTATGAACTCTCGAGTTCCAACCTAGGGCGTGGTATCTGAAAGCAGCAGTGGCAGTAGCAGCAATAACAGCAGCAGCATTCTTCGTCGTCGTCGCAGTCGCAGTCGTCGTAGCAGTAGCAACAGGAGTGCTAGTAGCAGCAGCAGTGCAGTAGCAGCAGGACAGTAGCGGGAGTAGCAGGAGCAGCAGTGGCGCCTCCGCCGTCAGTTGCTTCTCTTGCTGTCAACTGGTACTAGAGCGACTGGTACTGATGGAATGCCCCCGCGAAGCATAGGACGCTTGTGCTACTACCGCGACGACAGCTCCCAGATCCTGGACGATACGCGCTGGGTCGCGGAGATGTGCCTATGGGCACTCCCGACAGAATATGGGTTTTAACCCGAGACACTGACTCCGAATCTGCAGGAATCCCCTACACAGTTTCACTAGAGAGGTTGTACAAAAGGCTGCAGGTTTCATAAGCTTCTAATTATTAGGGTTTGATCACGATTTCACAAGGATTTCATCACGGTCTCAAACGTCTGCTTTTCGGACTTGAAACCCTCGCCAGTACACCTGAAGTTGTCGGGCTTCCGACACCACCGCTTCATCCAAGCCTGGGGTTTTAGACTTGGGGCTTGGGGGTTAGTGATTAGTTTTCAGGCTGGGCTTCTTAACTAGGATTCTACCACTTGGGGCGTCCCATGATTTTCCCAAGTCTGGAACGACTACCAGGTCAGGGCTTCAGGGTCGGACATTGCGGCAAGCCCTCAGCACGAAAACAGAATATACTACCCATCAAGCCACAACCCCAAATTCTCCGAACTTGTCGGGGCTTGCAGTTTCGGCTCTTCCTAATCCATAGTCAAACCGAAGCCCCAGACCCCAAGCAACCATGTCACCGAGGCACCGTGGGTGCATATGGGTGACTTGGAAGCGCAAGACACCTCGGAGCTCCTCAGTTTAGATGCCGACGGCTTCTGCGCGACTCTGGGGCACAACTGGGAGACGCAGCGTGCTGCCAGCAGGCTCGCAGGGACCGTGTTGAAGAAGACGTTAGAATTTGAGAAATGCCGGTTTGCGAGGTATTCTCGTCGCTTCGTGGAGGCGGTGCAGATGCTTGGTTGTCGTAGCTTCAGCTTTTGTCGATCATGGTGTTTTTGTTTGCCGTTGCAGCGGCTCTGAGTTGCTGCCAGCATCATCGTCACCAATCGCATCCGCCGCATCATTCGATCACTCACCATCATCACCATCATCGCCATCGTAGTCGTCATCGTTGTCGTCACCTTTTTCTCATCATGATCATCACCTTCATCATCTTCTTCTTCATTGTCATCAACGTCTTCTTCTTCAGCATATGGCATATCGCTCTCCTATTCACCAGCATTATCTCCGGCAGCTTCCGTGGAAGCAACAGACAGAAGCAGCTGCAGCAGCTTCAATAGCATCGCAACCACCCCTGCGACCAGCAGCAGCAAAAGCAGGAACAACGCTAGCAGCAGCACATGCAACCGTAGCGGCTGTGCAGCAGCTCAGCACAAGTCCACCACAAGGCAGACAGGCTCACGAGGCTAACATAATCATCCTCAAGGCGGCAGCAACATCGGCGAGCTTGCCGCAACACTTACCGGGACGGGGACAAGTGGGGTTTGCGAAAAGAAACGTGGCCAACAAACTGGTGAATCATAATTTTGGTTTCCACCTCTAGAAGAGAAAACGGAAATAGCAAGACTGGCCATGAAATGATGAGTGAAGTTTCCATCACTACAGCTGAACAGCCTCGGTGCAAGTTTACCTACACCATGACCTCCGCGTGCACTTTCGAAGCATCAGAGCACGAGCTTCTCACTAGTTGCCGCAATATGTAGAGTGGGTAGTCGGAAAACCTGTGATGCCAGATCGCATGCACATATATGCAGTTTATCTTGCCGACAAAGGAAGCAGCCCTTCTTGAGCGACATCTTCGTTGATGGGAACTCGATCTTAGATCCTACTCCCAAGCACGAGGAGGACTTCAAGAGACAGCAGAGCCGTGTGACACCGATACCCCTTAAGTAGCTTTGGAGAGACGATGTTTGGGCTTCCCTGAACATGAAGTCCCAAGAGCAGGAGACCGGCGACGTTCTGATGCCGTCATCTTTCCGTCGCTTCCTGAAGAAGCATCGAACGAAAGAGGGCGAAGGAGGGGTTTCGAAGAGCCAGGTCGTGCCGCTGCCTTGTGCCTTGGACAAAGAAGGTTGAGGGGTGAGTCGACGGGTCTATAAGGGTTTTTCTGTGTGAATGTAGTGGCCTAAGCAGTTTAGGTTTTTTGGGGTAAATCAAGATGGCTATGTTGGGACCCACAATGAGGGATACAGGTATTTCTCCAACCCGTCTACTAGGGTTCAACTGGTTTGGCTCAGGTGGTTCGAGCATGTCGGGTTGGTTTAAGACTCGAGGTTCACTTTTTGCAAGTCAAGGTGCAGGGGGTTCAGAGTCTTGGGTGTAGGATTCAAGTTACTATAAGTATCCGACCAAGTTGACGGCAAAGGAGCGCACTGGAGCTCTTTCCACCTAGAGGATGGCGCCAAACATGCCGGCGAGACTTGAGGGGACTTCTCCACATGGGTGGTTGTCAAAATCAGGGCCCCTTCTTGGATACCCTGAATACTAGGTGCCCTATTAGGCCATATTATATTAAGGACCCCAAACGGACCATAATTTTGACAACCACCCACATGATTTCGACATGGCCTGGTGCGGAAGCCTGAATACATGCCAAAGTTGTCACCCAGCATTTGCATGAACTATGTTTATGATATGCTTGCTTCTATCTTTACGATTTTCATATTCTTCTTCTATTGCTGTTATCGTTATTTCTATTACGATAATAGTCATAGGTATTTTTTAGTGAGTAATAGTATCATTATTGTTGGTCTCATTGTTGTTTCTAATCATCACGACTACTTGTGTGTTCTATTCTGGGCAGGTTGTGGTTATTGCTAACATTACTACTATCTTTGTTAGCATCATTGAAATATCACCAGTAGTAGCGGTAGTAGTAGTAGTAGTAGTAGTAGTAGTAGTAGTAGTAGTAGTAGTAGTAGTAGTAGTAGTCGTAGTAGTCGTAGTAGTAGTAGTAGTAGTAGTAGTAGGAGGAGGAGGAGGAGGAGGAGGAAGAGGAGGAGGAGGAGGAGGAGTGTTTCTAGCACCACCACTTTGTTTTAAATATTCTGATTGCTTAGCCTGATTATTGGACTTGTTGTTGTCATCTTTATTTTTACTGCTACTATCGATATCATATAACAACGACACAAGAGCAACCATTATGAAGGCCCCAGTGTTACGTGTGAACACAGCAATAATCCTGCTAGTTGCCTAAAGCCTCGCACCTCAAACCCCAAGCCTTCAAGCTCTAACCCCAAAGGTGCACACCCCAACGTTCCCAATCTCGGAGCCGAACACTCATCAGGCTTGCACTCAAGCAGTAGATGCTGCCACGGCGCGGGCAGTGTTGATTTTCCGAATCTTTTTGTAAGGCGCACCGCTGCCAGGACGAGGGCTCCAAGTATTAGGTGGGATAGGGTTTAGGGTTTGGCTTAGGCCTGGGCTGACCTGTTAATTATAGGAAATGATGCATGCTCATGCCGGCATAGTTTGAAGTGAGAAAGGTCCCATACCCGCCTAAGCCCTAAAGCCGAACGGATCCCATTTTTCATTCCTAAACTCCAAACTCTCAAGTCTTAACAAACCCCTACATGTGAAAGCCTAACCGGAAACTCAGCGCCGGACAGTTGTCCTGCTCGAGTTTCAGAGTTTAGGATGTAGGGTTTCACGTTTGGGGGCCAAGGTAAAGAACAGTGCTATTTTCACGGCCCAAGGCGTGGATTGAGTCGTTTAAGGATGTAAGCTTTGGAGTTCAGGGCTGCGGGTTCAGAGTTTGTAGATTATAGGTGCCAGGCCATTCGAGCCCTAATGCTTGGGCCCATACCCAGCTGCTCTCTTTGCACCAAGGGCGTGCGAGTGTGATTTTCCGCAGCTCGGGTTCCTGTCGGCAGCTGTCCAGTCGATCTCAGCCACCTCCGCTCCCTAACTCGATCCCGAACGCTCAGCCCGAATGGCTCAAATGAATTTATATATGTATATATATGTATATATGTATATATATATATATATATATATATATAGAGAGGATATGATATAAAAATATATATATATATATATATACTTATAGAAGTCCCAGGCCTCAATATCCCGGGACTTCTGCGTGGTCAGAGCTTGTATCAGAATCTGATACCCCCCGGGGGGGGGTGCCTGAGGTCCCAAATCCGAAGCCGAGCTGGCTTTTGCAGTTGAAAGCCAAGGAGGTGGTTGTCAAAATTATGGTACCTTTTTAAATCTTAGGGTACCCTACATATGATGAGTCGTACTATAATAAGGACATTATGGTCCTTTTTTTTCAACAAGGGACCATAATATTTATAGTGTACCCGAAATTTGGGTACCCTAAAAAAATAGGTGCCGTAGTATAATAAGGACCCAAAAAGGGAGGGGGCCTACTTTTGACAACCACCCAAAGAGCCGGCATACTGCCTAGAACTTACCTTTGGTTAGTAGGGAATGGAGGAATTGGGTACAATTATAACTACTATTGCCACCATTCTTCCATTCCCTACTAACCAAAGGTAAGAGAAGCCGCCCAACAGACAAAGTCCGCGGAGATACTGAGATACTCACCATAAAGACCCTGAGCCTTAAACGGTAAGCCTCGGCGCCTGGGGGCCCAGGGCCCAATACTCCAAAGCTCGGACCTGTGCGGTGGAGCGTTCCTCACAAGGTGTGCTCGCCATGAAAAGATGAGCGATGTCGAAAGTGGAGCTCTGTTATAACCCTGAGCCTGTAAAAGAAGCCCTTCGCACCACACCTTGAGGTGTACAACCTTGTAAACTTGAAAACTGCAGTACAATGATCTGCTGCGTCTATAGAGCCTGAAGCAGACTCAGAGAACCCCAGTCTCAGCCCGTAAATCCCAAACCCTGAACTCCCTAAATCACCCCCCACCCTAGAATCTGAGACACTAGTAACACAAAAGTCAGAAGTCCCAACACCCCAAACCCCCAAACCTGAACCCCTTCAAGAAGACCGCCGCCTCTTTCAGGCAGAGCTTCCGGGGATTAGCAGAGGACGCCTCCTTTCCAAGTTTCAACTCTCAGGGCCTTTGGCTTCAGGTTAGGTTTAGGGTTTAGGGTTTAGGGTTTAGGGTTTAGGGTTTAGGGTTTAGGCTTTAGGGTTTTCGGGTAGGGTTATACATGGTTGCAGGGTTCAGAAGTTCAGGGCCAGTTTAGGGGTTTAGGTCTTGGTTTTAGGTGTGGGGCGTTTGGCTACTTTGGCTTGAGGTTTAGAGTTTAGGGCTTTGGTCCGTCGCAGCCGGATTGGGTTTCTGGGCGTGCATTGGGACGCGAGTGGCCATGGAATGCCAAAACGCAGGGAGGATCATTGGTCTAAGTTGAGGCGTTTATGGTTTGTTGGCTTTAGGGTCCAGGTCATTTGGGGTTCCTATGATTTCGGGTTCAGTTGTGTTTTTTAATTTGTTCTGTTTCTGTGGCTCAGGGCTCAGGACTCCGGGGCTTCGAATCCAGGGTGCTCAGGCTCAGCACAGGGGGGGGGGGTGTCGGCTTGCTGTTTCATGTGAGGGTGATCAGACGGTGCTAGATGGGGCGCTGTGTTCAAGGGGCTCTATCCAGAACAGTTAGAGTCAGAATCGAGTGTTGGAATATGTTTTTGTAGAGTGGTATGTGGACGCAAGGGATTAGTACCGAGGCTGCCTTCAACCGTGACAGCCATCTTGCACTTCTGCCCAAGATCCTGAGCACAAAGACCCAAACCCTGAGCTCAAAGCTCCGAACGCCTACAGCCCAAGCCCGGAACCTTGCTCCGGCAGCCCTCACATCCGAAACTCCACGCACTGACGCGCTATAACCTGAACCACAAGCCCTAAACCGCTAAACCCCTTAAGACCCTGCAGACAAGGCCCACAGGATCTCAATGCCTCCCCCCACCACAACCACCACCCCAAGGCAACACATCAGAAACCCAGGATCCAGCGACGCGGTTCGTGCAGCTGGCCCTACCCACACTGCCGGGTATGCCGGGGATCCAAGAAGAACCTCTCAACCCAAGGCATCCCTAAACCGGCGTAACGCGCGTTCAGTCTTCGGCTTTGCGGCTGTGGGGTTTTGCTGAGGTTTGGGGCATTATGCGCTTTTGCGTTGTTGTTTCGGGCTTGGGGCTTTAGAGAATTCAGAGTCATGGCTTTAACGTTTTGGAGATTGAAAGTGTTGTTAGGGCTTTGCAGGGATTCCACCCGCTCACTAGAGAACTCGGCCACAATCGCTGGCTTCAAATGCGATCTCTCAAGCCTGGCCCTCCATCGTCAAAGCAACTTGCATCCGAACTTAAGCTTAGGGGTACTTAGAATTCATTTTTAATTTTTGGTTATTATAATCCCTAAGAAACAGCTAAAATTTTAATTTTTGCTAGGGTTCTAAGTTCAGTATAGTAAGCAGTGCAAACTTGAGGAGCTTGGGTTTGGGCTTCTGGAGGCCTGGTTTTGCAGGAATAAGACCCCGGCCTGACACCCTGAGTCAGTATCCTGCAACTGACAGTGCAGACTGCCAAGGCAGTGTCTAGGATTCCGGGGGACACCCCTCTACCCCGATGTGAGGCTCAAAGAATAAGAGTAGGGTTGTGGAGTAGATCATAGAATGACTACTTAAGGGCTATGAAGGTAATTGTTATTACATAACTCATAATATGTAATATGCAATCTATGACGTATGTTATACAAGAATATCCTGGTTCTCTGGGTTTGCCTGCATAAGTGCTGGAAAGAACAGGTCGGGCTCGCCAGTCTTCGATGCAGATGGCAAGGCCCTACCTACCATAATATGATCGAATATGTTATGATCTGATAGAACATAATCTATTATCTTATCATAATGCAGTATAATACCTACTCTGACTCGTCGATGCTTAGCACACGAAACGGGGTCTAGGGTTTTGGGTATGTTGGGTTGGATGTAGTAGACTTAGCAGACAATGCCTGGCCGGGGGGCAGCACCTCAATAGAGACCGTAAAGGGCTGATAGGGGCAGAAAATGCACCTTGTCGGCCCTCCGTCTTAGAGGTTGGTTTCGGGTTTCGGGCCAGGGTTTAAGGTGAACTGCGCTGCGCTTTTTTTTCAACCATAGGTTTTTGGGTTTTTTTTAAGAAGCCTATCGAAGACCATTGGCTGCAACTTCTTGAAGCCCTGAAGCTGAGGTCTGCGAGAGCTCTTGGAGTCCTGAAACCTTCGAGTTTTGCTGGGAGATCAGGGTTCAGGGTTTAGGGTTTAATGGGAAAATAGGGCCGACTAGGATCCAGGGTCGAGCGTATAGCGATTCTAGGATTCGGAGCCCGAGCCCCAAAGCTTTGATAAGGTCTTCTAGCACGGAACCCTTTCGGCCTACTGGCGATGCCAGGTGATTGCCATGGTGGCGAAGAAGTTCGAGGAGCATGGTCTCGCTATACCTGCAGAGAGGCAGGAGCTTCGGTGCTTTGGTTGCTGAGGGGTGCGCAATATAGCAATATATATATATATATATATGTATATATTCATCTATATGTATATATATATATATATATATATCTATATATATATATATATATACATATATAGAGGGGTTTCAGTGTATGGGCGTAGAGCGCAGGGCTATAGCCTGTACGATTTTGGGCTTTCCCTCAGCCCGCTTTGCGGCACCCTCGCAGGTGTGCATGGGGTTCGGGGTTTGGCAATTCTCCTAAATCCAATGCCCTCAACCCCAAACCTGCTGCTGCTTGTTGCCATCAGGGTGCGAATCGTGATCCAGTGTCTCGAGGCCCGGGGGCGACATTGAGGAGTTAAGATTTACGTTTTCCGGGTTCGTTGATGGATGAGGGTTTGCGACTTCTTTGTGGAGTGCTTCGGATTTAGATCTTGATGTTGGAGTGGCGTGGTGGTGTGATCGAGCTCAGACTCTCGAATGGCATCGTCGTTTGATGTTTAGAGTTTAGGGCAATGCCGATCCTACCATGAGGATTGATAAGAATCCTAGCCCAAGAGCCTTCAGAGAAGCAGGGAATATTCAGATGTGAGGACTCACACCCTGGTTGCTTCAGGGTTTAGGGGTAGAGGCCTCTATGGGTGGAAGAAGGCAGAAGAAGCACTGGAGGGACGAAGCCGACAGGTTTTTCACCCTTTTTGTTTGGTCTTTACTCTTTAGGCCAAACCCTGAATCATGCATCCTTAGCAAATGTGCCTCATTCATCATGCTTTCACCGGAAGCCCGAGCCCTTGCAACCCAAAACCCCACAAGCCCTCCAATCCCTGCAGCCCTTCGCTGGGTCTACTCATTGAAGTTGTCTGGGGTGTTGGTAACTTGGGCGTCAGATCCCTTGCCTGCAAGCGTCTCAGGCTCAGTCAGTGCTAAAATTGCCTTGATCCGAGCCCAGATGATCCGAATCTTCGCGAGTCTTTTGATCTTATGCTCCAGTGCAGCTGCGGCGGGGGACCTCTGTGAGGCCGACCAAAGCCAGCTTCTGCAAAGGCAGCGAGCCAGGAGCACGCTCAAGGCGGACGATGTTCCCTATACATTGCACGACTTAGGGGGCAAATCAGTGTATCTTGTCATGACCGATCGTTTCTCTCGCTTCGGCGGGGTGAGCCAGAACGACTCGAACCCATGCACTGGCAACAACTGGTGCAACGGCACCCTGAAAGGCATCACCAGCCAGCTGGAATACATCAGGGATATGGGTTTTGACTGTATCTGGGTCACGCCGGTGGTCTTGAACTTCTATGGTCCGGACGGGCCCAGTGGATATGGCTACCATGGCTATTGGGCTCAGGACTACTACCAGATAGACCCCAACTTCGGAACGAAGGAAGACCTTAAAGAGCTTGTAGAGCAGACCCATAACATGGGGATGTGCTTCATCCTTGACATCGTCTTGAATCACTGCCGCCCCGTTCACAGTGAGCAAGACTTGAGTGAAGTCAACCCCTTCAACGAGACAGAATACATTCATCAGCTGAACATTAGCAACCTCACCTTCGATCAGTACACTGAGAAGACGCTGGGCACAAGAGCAATCCTTCACCATGTGTACATGTATGTGCACTTTCTTCTTTGGTGGATACGTATGATATACGTGTTTTCTATACGCACATGCATACATACATACATACCTACATACATACATACATGCAGTAGGCACTTTTTTGCACATGCACGCGTGCATGTACATGTCTTTGTGCATGTTTGTCTTTGACTTGTATCTGGTCCCCAAGTTTTTGACGGCTGAGTGAGCAGCACGACCGCGTTGAGCCGGAAATTCTTCAAAGTTGAAGCCGAGGATGTCGGGGTGGCCTCCACCAGCACAGGCCTTGGGACCAGGAGCATCATGCGAACTGCAGTTCTTCTCCAACGGCACACCCGAAGCTTGCTTCTTCCGAGCTGCCGGTTTCGTTATCTCACAAGTTAAGTCTAAGTGTTTTACTTACTGCTTCCTGGTGTTTTGGTGGATCCCTAAGGACGGCACGAACAATGGCACCTACTGCAATAACTATCCAGGGAGTGTTTACAATGCTCAGACCTACTTTGGAGACAGGGCCCATGGCCCTCCAGACTTGAAGTACTGCGGAGCAGGGAACTACATCTGTCGCGGCTACAATGAGACTGTGAACATCATCGGCTGGTTCTACGATCTCGCAGATTTGAACCAGTCGGTTCCTTTTGTACGGCAGGGCTTGAAGGATTGGGTGCTGTATATGGCCTGGGCCTCGGCATATTCTGGTCAAAGGTTGGGCCGCATACGACTCAGTAGGGTCTCGGGGCTTGCCGCCACCCACTCCTTGTAGGTGTGCTTTTCTCAACATCATCTTCAATTAGGGTTTTGATGGGCTGATGGGGCAACAGTCCCTCTCAGAGTAGTATCCGTATCGTGCTTCTTGTTTTGGTAGTAGTGGTCGTTGTAGTCGCAGTCGCAGTGGAAGGCGTAGTTGTAGTTGTAGTCGTAGTCGTAGTCCTAGTCTTCGTCATCGTAGTAGTAGGAGGAGTAGTAGTGATAGTAGCAGCAGCAGGAGCAGTCGAAGTAATGGTCGTCGTCGTGGTGGTGGTCCTAGCAGTAGCAGTAGCAGTAGCAGTAGTAGTAGCAGTAGCAGTAGCAGTAGTAGTAGTAGTAGTAGTAGTAGTAGTAGTAGTAGTAGTAGTAGTAGTAGTAGTAGTAGTAGTAGTAGTAGTAGTAGTGTAGTAGTAGTAGTCGTAGTGGTAGTGGTAGTGGTAAGTAGTAGTAGTGGTAGTAGTGGTAGTGGTAGTGGTAGTGGTAGTAGTAGTAGTAGTAGTAGTAGTAGTAGTAGTAGTAGTAGTAGTAGTAGTAGTAGTAGTAGTACTAGTAGTAGTAGTACTAGTAGTAGAAGTAGTAGTAGTAGTAGTAGTAGTAGTAGTAGTAGTAGTAGTAGCAGCAGCAGCAGCAGGAGTCGTCGTCGTCGTGGTCGCCGTGGTCGTCGTCGTCGTCGTCGTTGTTGTAGTGGTTGTGGCGGTGGTAGTGACAGTCGTAGGGGTAGGGCTAGTCGTATTGGTAGTGGCAGTCGTCCTCGTCGTCCTAGTCCCAATGGTGGCTTTTGTGGTTGTGGTAGAAGTAGTAGGAGCAGGAGTAGTAGGAGTTGGAGTTGGAGTAGGAGTAGCTTGGTGGCTCCGGGGGACTTCCGAGCTTCTTTCCTCTTGTGCTGCCCGATTTTGAGATTATATTCTGCACACGTTGCCATAGACTAAAAAACATGTGTATAAGCAAGCTCGTCCGAGGAAGACAACAGTGTTTTTTGTTGTTTTGACTGTTGCAGAGGCGGGAAGATAACATGGCAAAAAGGTCGTCCGAACATGTTTACCCACTCCCCAATCCACCACCACCACCACCACTGCCAATACCACCGGCACCACTACGACAATAGCACTACTGCGATCTAGCACACAAGCTCTGGAGCGGCGCTAGCACACACACACACACACACACACACACACACACACACACACACGCAAGCAAACATGTAGGCGCACACATCAGGACACACACACACACACGCACACCACACCCTAACCAAGTTCTCACCACGTACCATCACCGCTGCACCCCCGACTGCACTCCGCAACACGTCCCCACCACCACCACCACCACCACCACCACCACCACCACCACCACCACCACCACCACCACCACCACCACCACCACCACCACCACCACCACCACCACCACCACCACCACCACCACCACCACCACCACCACCACCACCACCACCACCACCACCACCACCACCACCACCACACAACGCAAGCAGTATAGCACTGGCAGTGGCGGTAGCACTGCTGCTGCTTAGTGCCTTGCGGTTCTGTAGTTTGGGCTCTGGTATTGGGTTCTGGGGCCCGGCACCAATACTATAATAATAACACTATACTATACTATAATAATGATACTATATAACAATAATATTATACTACACTATAATAATATTTTACTATACTGGCCCCAAACAACAGAAGCGGTTTATCGGTTGAAGGGCTTAGGGTTAGGCAGGGTTGGTGGATGCAGGGTGTAGGGTCGGCACTGCCACCACCATGAGTGTCACAATGACTGCATGGGTTATTTCACCACGGCCGTTAATGGTCGCTGAATAGGCTTCGGGTGAATAGTCCTCTAGGTTAAGTTGCGTCTAGCATGTACAAAATCACTCCAGAGTCGTGTTCGGAGTTTGAGCTTAGTACTTTGGATGAAGATGTCCAGGTCACAGAGTATGCAATAGATGGCATTCGTCTGGACACGACGCCTTACATGACGCACGAGTTCTTGCAAGAGGTTCAGGACGCTTCAAACGTGGGGGAACATCACCGAAATTTAAGATGCCACTGCTTGTGGTCTTGTTTTCATATTCGGGAGTCTCGGGACCTCTATAGGTACTTTGCTCTGGAAGGCTCATCCCGTCCTTGTTTCCGCGGAGCTGGTTTGAGGCCGACATCAGGAAAACATACAGCCCGAACGGGTTCAGCGGAACAAGCCCCGCAGAAGCAACCTTTGCCGAAGCCGTAAGTTGCCGGCAGCCCATGCATTCGAGCATTCAGGGCTCCAGGCCATTCAGCTTCGTCTAAACCCTAAACCCTCAACTGTGATTCTCTGAAGGGTAATCAGAGCTTCTATCGCCTGGGACTCGCTGTAGTTCATATTTGGAAGTCTCTGACAATATTGGGCCCTGAAGTACATCCTCTAAGCAGCTAGCTTCCTTGCGAAGAGGAGATGCTCCATGCGCTCGATAATCCGATCCACATTCTCGGAGAGGTGACGTCCACAAACCTCAGCTTTCATGCTTCCTACCAGGCCGAACAGACGAGGGCGGCATTCAGGCTTTAGGGTTGCAAGCCTGATTGGGGTTAGAGTTTAAGGCTTAGGAAGTCCGCAGCATCACATTACTCGACTACTGCCGTATTCGTGGAAAACCTTCGCTAGTGGAAGGATCATGCTGAACACCGGAACCAGCCTGCGTCCAAGTGTTGGATCCTCATGTTTCCGCACAGGTACAAGACGGAAAGGATGTCTTGGCTGGCCTTGAGAACTTTCCCTTGACCTACATGGCGATGCCGGGATATTGTGGTTGGCCAAATGGGCCCAAATCTCCAGTGGCTCAGTTCGATCTCACCTACCTGGCCATTGAAATGACTCTTCAGCAGAAGCCGCTAGACATGAACGGAGCTTCGCCTCTTGAGTTCGGCTAAATAAGGTCCCTTGGGGAAGGGCCCCGGCCCCTTAGTGCGAAATTTTTTGCACTTCCCAGAGCCTCCAAAACCCCTTAGTTAAGGAATGTACCTTAAATCATATTAGGGCTCCTATTATAATTTAAGGTAGATTCCTTGATTAAGGGGTTTTGGAGTCTCTGGGTTATTTCGATGCCCTACATGGACAGCTAGACAGCCCGAATCTGCCGAGGTCGGGGCTCTACAAAGACCTGAACTTGCTCATGAACATGATGGACAACCAAGATCCTGGGCTCTTCTTCAGGATGTGAATTTAAGTTACCATATAATCAGAAAGCTATGATATTTACTATGGATCCCTTTTTGGGTAACTTGCGTTGAACCCTAAACCCTCAACTCCTCAACCAGAAGCCAGGATGAGACACCTATTTGGGGTCAATATCACATGCCCGGCGCTGGCGAGGTCGCCGAGATGGAAGAGTGCGCCATCTTCAATTTGATCATTCGGGGTTTAGGATTTGGGGTTCGAGATTTATGCAGTTCTTTTGCTCATCTACTGCGAGCATGTTAGCTGTTCAAGGGCCTTCTTGTGTACCTGCAGTCTCTGAAGCCCCTGCCAGAAACCAAATCCTGACCCGAAGCATGGATTCAAGACCAGGATACCAGAAGTTGATCGAAGTAGAGCAGATAGACTGCAGGCTAGATCGAAAGCCTAGGATTGAAATTTAGGGCAAACAGGGCATGGGAGGCAGCAACTCGACTATCAAAGGTTCGCGCTCTTCGGCGCAGGGGGATGTCTTGGGTACCCGGTGCTGGTCCGGAACGCCTGGGCCTGGCTCTTGTTCGCCAAGGGCATGCCGGTCGTCACGTGGGGAGACGTCCCTGGACCTGCAAGTTGATGTTTGTTTCGGTGGATTAGTGACAAGGGCATGCTAGGGGAACACGGGAGGAGACTTCGGAGTTTTGGCCTCAGGCTTGAAGGCTCGCCTTTTTTCTTCTCACCCACACGTATCTGCAATGGGAGCGTAGTTTTTCGTGTGCTTTCCTGTTTTTTCGTTGGTTCAAGATGATGGGTGCGATCTATAAGGAGCTTCTACTTCAGGCGTTGGGGGAGCAGGAGATTACGGTGGGGGCTTAAGGTGATCCGACGGTGACTCCCAGGAGCAAGGCAATTCTGCGTACAGGAACAGCCTTTGGCAGTTCGACTGGGACAAGACCTCCTGGCAGTATCAATTGCTGAACAAGATGAATGCAATTCGACGGTCCCGCAATGTGGCAAAGGCCAGCCAGCAAGTCCACCTACAGTACAAGTGTCTCGGTTGCTCTGGAACATCTGCTGCTTGAGAGAAAAAGTGCAGATTGTCAGTTGTTTCCAGAGTTTGCAGAGCAGCCGAGGTCGAGATTGGTGTTCTCGCGTGGCTGCGGCCTGGATCAGGTATTTGTGCTGACGAACAACCTTGTTCTGGCAGAAGGGCAAAAGGTTGGCTATTGGTTCCGACTACCTCGTCCTCCCCGAGGTATGATGTGGAGGGATGCATTGCGTGACCAGTACTTTTATCGCGCATGGTGGCGGGTCATGGCATGGACGACGGAGCCGTTGGTCCTGGTTCTGGTGCCACTCGGTCCACTTGGTGCGACACAGGCATCTGTGGAGACACAGTGAGCCCAGACAGGAGGTTGCTCGATTCCAGCATGAGCCAGTGCACGCACGGCCGAGGAGCATGATGCAATGGCACCCGGCTGTCCTGGTACTAATTCAGATGTACAGCTCGTGCTGGCAACGACGTTGCAGACGAGGTTTCCCCCTGGTCGCAGAAAGATCTCCGTCCCTCTCGGCACACTACCATACTTCTATACCACTTAATGACTACTACCATTTTCTGCTAGAAATACGCCATATACTACATATACGATATACTGTTCATATACATGACATGCTTGAAGCTCTAGGCCCAGTTCGCCTGTAGGTTCACGCACCTCCAAGCCCCAAGCACAGCCAAGCAACACCCCAAGCGGCGGACAGGGCCCAGAAGCAAGCATGAACGCTCCAAGGCTTTTGCTGATGCTTAAGTGGGCTTACTACAGTAGTTACACCTATACAATACAGTACTATGTTGCACCATACTACACTCTGGCATACTATACTATACTCGGCTATACTATACTATGTGTTACTATACTATACTGCACTATACTTATACTATACTATACTATACTGTACTATACTATGAATATTGAATATAGTTTAATATACCATAGTGTATGTAGTGTTTTTTGGTTTGGCGTGTCAGGTCCAGGTTTTAGGCATGTGAGGTGTCTTCTTGAAGCCCGGGCCACACTGGGAAGACCACCCTGAAGCCTTTGAGCCGGGGGCCGTAGAAACCTAAGGCCAAGCCCTAGAGCCCGAACTCCGTAAACCCCTGAAGACCTAAACCTCGAATCTCAAGCTCCACACGCCAAGATTTCCAGAGCCGCAAGACCTCACTGCTCGCTCATCGAGTTCCCCATCCCCTCCTATCCAGTCACTCCCCAGGATCCGACAAATTGAGCCATACGGGTTGAGATAGTTTTTTCCAGCTGTTGTACGGAGCTTGGAACCCCCAAGCCCTAAAGTAGCGAGAACACACCAAAATCTAGATTTAGCATGTCAACTTCACCCCCCCCCAGCAGCACTTACTCTTCCTGGTCCCTGACTGCAACTAAAGGGCTAGCATATGGCCTAAATAATTCCGAATACGATTTTGGGGGTTGCTTATCGTAGTTATAGTATCATATGCCCCAAAACCCTATTCAAACTGCTAAGGCCCCTGTACACCCAACTTGATTCGCGAGGCGGGCCATGGCTGGCTTCCTCCCTTGCTTGGTTTGGAGGTCCAGGAGCACCTGGGTGCGTGTACAGTAAAAGCCACAAAGTTGGAAACCGGATAAAGGCCAGATAGTGCTGGGATTCCCTATACATGACTCTTAGGGATTGAGGCTCTGGGGTTTCCAACTTTTGGGCTTCTACTATAGGGGCCTGTGGGGTTGAGGTTTGGGTGTTCAAGGTTAGGGTGCTCGGCTAGGGCTTTCCGGTTATAAGCTTTCAAGGCGTTAAGCGTTTTCGGGTTCAGGTCTTTGGGGATTTTGCATTTAAGGTTTTCGGGTTTAGGTGTGTAGGACGTCAGAATGGGCTTAAGGTCAGGCTTTGCGGCAGTTTTGAGGGTTTCGGTTGTGGTGTCTTTGGTTCGGGGTTGGGCCGTTTAATTTTAAGTTTGCAATTCCGAAAATTCAATTGAGGAAATTTCTTTGAATTTGGGGTTTAGTTATTTCGGTGGACGTTGGGCCTTAACACACCAACAAACACAACGACCGCCTCTTATCGGGATGTTGGGTTTGGGCGGGGTTGTGAATCCCAACTACTTGCGAAAGGCTGCTTTTGCTTTCACACTTTGGAGCAGTGGACCTTACTTGCAAAGCCCGCGTTGTTGCTGTATTCTGCTTGCAGCTGCCTTTATTTGTTGGCCCGGTTGCGTTTTCAGAACCATCGTGTGAAGATATTTTAACCATTCTTCTTGGTTCCTTCACAGCCGAGAAGAGGCCAAACACATGAGAACCTCTGCATCATGGAGAAAGACCATCCAGGATCTTCAGGTGTTTCAAGTCTTCTCAACCATCGACCCTGCCTTTCTGCGTAGTACCTGGCGCTTTGTGGCAACTCTCGAAGTCGCCATGGTATCAACTCAACTCATGATGTGCTCGCCGCCGTCAGTGTTTTTGGACTGCAATTCAGCATGACAGCTCAGGGCAAGCAGAGTACCTGTCATTGTCAGCGCCAATGCTGATATAGTTGCCAGAGACCAAAATGGCCTCGAAGAGGGGTCACTAGTCATAGCGCTCAGCATACCCTAACATGTCAGCATTTGTTATTCCGCGCCAGGAAAGCGGGACGCTGCTTGACCCTACTGTGGTCGTGAAGGCACATCAGGAGGTGTAGGACTGGAGTTCGGTTCCTCTGGTTGCGGGTTCGTACATACATGCTTACATACCAAAACTTACATCCACACACACATGCAGACATACTTGCAGCCAGGCATGCACAAGCACGCATGCATGCATACACAGCGTACATACCTGTATACGTGCGTACATATACGTGCATCGTCTTTCAAGCCCTATGTTCAGTCCTTACCCCTGAACCCAAAATCTTATGTCCTCCAACGCAAGCTTTTCTTTACAGCTGAAATCCTGGAGGCAGTCCGTGGCAGGGGTGCCATCGCGGCTGGCGTGCAGGCTCTTGCGAGCCGGGTTAGCGTTAAGTTACTTGCAGCTTCATGATCTAAGCTCTTGGGGGCTTGGTAAGGATGATGCTGATTTCCACATGGTGTTGCTGTTGTGGTGCTTTGGGGCTGTGGAGGTTGTCACGAGCGTGCCTTGTGGCGTTTGCAAGGGGGCTTTTCGTTCGAACTCTGTCCTACGATTGTCCGATGCTCTATTTCATCCGTGAGCCAAATCTCCCAAAGCAGTTGCGTTCTTAATCCATTCTCATTCAACCGGAAGCAACAGGAGGACACAAGGTTTCCTCTATTGTCCAAGGCGCTGTACGGGTTCACACAAACTCCTGACGCGGTAATTCTGGCACTCGGGCTTGCGCCAAGGCAAACCACTCAAAACTACACAAGAAGGGTCCGAGATGTATAATTTTGGCGATATGATGTGCTTGCTGCAAATTCGATGAAGCTGCAAACTTGAGCAGGCCTGTATGCCACTGTATGCGTCTGAAGGACATGACTCCACCCTGGCAGTGGCAGACAACAAAATGCACGCTTCCAAATCAGGTACAGGTTCGAGCTCCAATTCTTAGGTGGGGGTTTAGGGTTTAGAGACAGCAATTCCATGTTAGGTCGGCGATGAGATCTTAGCCATTGGCCAGACTCCTGTTGCCGGGGCCCCCAATGGGCCTCTGCAGAGTATGGTTTGAACGGCCGATCAACAATGCAACCACAGAAGGCAGTAGCTCACACGGGGGATACTGAGCCGTGATTGCAAATCCTTGGATCCATATGTAACCCAGCCAAGCTGGGGGTCTATGCACCCCAAACCTTCACCCCAAAGCCTAAGTCCTTGCACCCGCAACCTGAAAGCTCATCCCTCCACGCTACACGTGACAGGTTGAATCGTGAAACTGGACACGTACCCATGTTTCATATTCGGTTGAAGGTTTGGGGTGTTTCATGTCAACAGAAGAACATTGCGCTCTAACCCCCTGTCCTCACGTCCAAAAACCCTTGTACGCCCTACGCCACGAGAGTCCCAAGCCCTCAACCCCACACGGTCTCTTGACCGCAGAATGCGTCAGTAACATACAACTTGTCATTGGGAAAAACCGGGAATCGCAATTCTTAAAGGACACTAGCTTCTGGACCCGTATAGTCCTCAAAGCTTAGCCTCATATGCCCCGAGCTCTATCATGGCTTAAACTTGGCCTCCAACTCCTGGCCTCTGGGCCTTCTCACTGTAGCACGGGATGTTGCTGGCGGACGGAAACAGAAGCTCGAGAAAAGGAACAAGCCTTTAGCCCTTAAGCAATGACGGTTTCATTGCTTAAGGGCTCCTGAATCCTACACCCTACCCTGAAGCCCTGAAGCCCTAAACCCTAAAACCTTAAACGCCCCAACACCCTTAAACCCTACACCGTAAAGGCATCCAAACCCTCCACCCCAGAAGCCCTAAACACCCCAAAGTAAAAGCTAGAAAGTTGGAATACGATTCTCCTAACCCCTCTATGGTCAATTATAAGGTATCCTACCCTGAAACCATATTCCGACTTTCTGGAGTTCCCTTTGAAGCCGCTTAGGTCGATCTGGTGAGCATGAGGGAGGGCCTTAGCGCCTTGGGTGACCCGAGAAGAGGGAATCCTACTCTGGCTTTGAAGCTCAGGCGCCAGGGCTTTTGGCGTTGAGGGTGTGGGATTGAGGCTTTAGGGTTTAGGGTTTAGGGTTGAGGCTTCAGGGGCTCTAAGGAAGCTTTGGGGTCTAGGGTTTGAGGCTTTGAGGGTTTCGGGAATCTGGCTCCGGCTTTGAAGCTTAGGAAGATTGGAAGACGTTTTCCGTCTGTAGGCTGTGAGCGGTTTGGAGTCTGCTGCGGTTTGCTCCGTGATTCAACTGGGTACGTGACTCAGATTGTTTTGGTCAAAGGGATTTTTGAGTTCTGGGATGTGCGGTTACGGGGTGAGAGCTGTGAGACTTCATGTCAAACGAGACAACCTTCTTGTCGCATTCTGTCGAGCCGCGAGTGTGATGATGTTCGTCATTCCAAATCGGTGGCAGTTCATAGCAAGACCATGAACTCGGGCTGAGGCACAGGTAGCCCAGGTCCGCTGTTCCATTGCGCACATTGCCGGGACCCGTGCCACACGAAGATGAAGTGAGGAAGAACAGCCCTGGAGATTTGGCCCTAAAGGGAACTCCAGAAAGTTGGAATATGGATTAATGGTAGGATCCCCTATAATTTACCTTAAAGGGCTTACGATAATGATATTCCAAGTTTCTGGCTTCTACTGTAAACCCTAAGCTCTGATACCATGCTTTTCCGGCAGGCGTGCTGGGCGGTGTATTGAGGTGAGCCTCGAGACCGAGCGTTCCACCCCCAAGGCGGAGGAAAGTGGGGGCTCGCAAGTTAGTGGAA